ATGCCTATATTTCGCGCAGCTAGCGCGCACCGCAGACCTTACGCCGGCCATTTATGAAGTAAAGGAACTTCTATGCATGCCCGGCGTGCGCATAGAAGCATGGCGCGGAAAGAAGGGGCCCGCGCAATGCCATAGGTGCCAGCAATTTCGGCACTCATCTCACAATTGCCACAGGCCACTCTCCTGTGTACGCTGCGGCGAAGCTCACACCGCCCGCGACTGCCCACGCCCTCTGGAAGAGCCGCCTACATGTGCGAACTGCGGAGGAGCGCACACCGCAAACAGTGCCGCCTGTCCTGTTTTTAACGGGAAATCCGGAACCGGAAGGCTGGCACAATTGCACGAACATCAGCAGCCACACCGCACATAGAAAAGCCCACCACCGTCGAGGACGGCAACGCTCCCGCCTCGCTCATGGCAGCAGCCAATCCGCCGTAGGAGAGCGCGTGTCGCAAGAGACGACGAAAGAAGAAGGCGAAGATGCTTGCCAAACAGGCAAATGCGCCTCGCAATGATGTCCAGAAGGTCACCGTGGTCGCTGCCCCACTAGAGGGGACGAAGGCGAAGCGGACTGTCCAACCGCAGCTGGTCCCCAAACCGGCAACGGTAAACCTGGACCCCAGACTTACCAGCGTCATCGGTACCTTACAAAAGGTACTAGTAGCGCTACTGGAAAAGCGGGACCCTGTCCCACTGATCCTCGACTGCCTAGCACAGTTGTGTAAGTCTGGATTTGCGTAGGCTACACATACTGTTCTGGAACGCCGACGGGATGTCAGCAGAGAAGACCAGGCTACTGAAATTGCTGCTGGCAAAGCAGCAAGTGGATATAGCCCTGCTCAGCGAGACCCACCTCAGACCGTCTACCGTCTACCGGGAGGACCAACGCTCGCCAAGAGGGCCTGCCTACAGGGGATTAGCAGTCCTGGTCAAGAGGAAAGTCGTCCACCAAGCACTACCAATACCGACATTGCAGTCTGCGTACGCCCTGGGCGTAGAGGTCTGCATCGGAAGCCAACCTACCCGTGTTTTCGTATTCTACAGGCCGCCGGGGCAGCGCCTCGCAGTGGCTGACATACACACCCTGCTAGACTCGGCGCTACCTACAATAATCGCCGGCGACTTTAATGCGAAACACACGGCGTGGAACTCAAACATCATATGCCCAGAAGGCCGCCGCCTTCTAGATGATGCAGACCGCAACGAGTACCAGGTGCTAGGACCAGAGGTCCCGACACACTACCCGTACTGCGTAGCCCATACACCGGACGTCATAGATATAGCCGTCATCCGCGGCATCGACGCGGCTGTGTATCTTGACGTCCAGGACGATCACCTCATCTCAGACCACCAGCCGGTGTGTCTGACTCTAGATGACATCCCCCAAACTTTCCGACTATCTCCTTGTTCACGCCAAGACTGGCGGGTCTTCGCCGATTATATGGCAGAGCACTCGCCCTCCTTCCCAGTGGAGACACCCAACGACGTCGAAAAGCTAACGACGGATCTCAGCGCGGTCCTACAGACCGCGCTTCGAGAGTCGAAGCTCGATGCCACTACCGGAAGGAAGCCTTTCCAGCTCCCCGCCTACATCCTGGTGATGATCGAGAGGAAGAGGAGACTGCGCCGACAATGGCAGCGCGTCCGATGTCTGACCATGAAGTCCCAGCTCAATGCTCTGGCTGCGAAGGTCTCTGCCGCGCTGGCAACAAATGCGGCAGAGTCCTGGCAACGCACTATTGAGCGAGCTAGTTAAGATTGGTCGGGCATACACCGCCTGTGTCGCCAACTTTCCGGGAAACCAGCTCCAATTAGGCCCCTGATGGCCGGTAACGGCACCCCACGCTACCGTGCCGAGGACCGAGCGGAGATGTTCGCCGACTTCCTGGAAGCGTAGTTCCGACCGAATCCTGCCCACAATGTACAGCACGTGGCAGAGGTCGAGAGGAAGCTCGAGTTGTACTTTGAGCAGCCGATAGCCCCGACTGAGGACCCTGTCATCATCTCCCCTGGTCAAATCCAGCGGCTGATTCACCAAAAGCCTCTTCGTAAAGCGCCCGGTCCCAACCGGGTTACCAATGAAGCCCTGCGTCACCTACCTCCGCGAGCAATCGCGACGCTGACGCGTCTCTTCAACGGCATCCTCCGCACCGGACACTTTCCCACCGCATGGCGACTTGGCAGAGTCATCATGCTGCCCAAGCCGGGGAAGAGTATCCTCTTACCGGGAAGCTATCGCCCCATTACTCTCCTCTCAACGACGTCGAAGTTGTTCGAGAAATTGCTACTGCTGCACATGACAGCCACGCCTTCAGCCACGCGACGAACAGTTCGGATTTCGCGCCGAACACTCCACGACGCACCAGCTTGCGAGGGTACTGCATGACATCACGGTTGCACGCAACAAGCGCGAGCGGGTTGTAGCAGTCTTCCTCGACATGGAGAAGGCGTTCGACCGCGTCTGGCACGCCGGCCTGCTGTACAAGCTGTCCACATCTACTACTCCCCGCCGAGTAGTGAAGATTGTGGCCACCTTCCTGCAGGACAGACGCTTTCAAGTGGTAGTTGAAGACGCCCTGTCCACAGAGCGACCGATCTTTGCCGGTGTGCCGCAGGGAAGTTGCATGTCTCCCGTGTGCTACTCTTGGTACACAGACGATATCCCCGTTACCGACGGCGTGAAACTCGCGCTGTACGCCGACGACGCTGCCTACATCGTGACGTCACTAAAAGGTGCCAACGCTACTACCAAGATGCAGCGCACTCTAGACGCACTTCCCAGCTGGCTGAAGGACTGGAGACTGACGGTCAACGTGGCGAAGACTCAGGCGATCTCCATCGGAAGCATGACCCTACCGCAGCTGAAGCTCATGGGCCAGAATATCGAGTGGTCCGCGACGGTGAAATACCTCGGCGTAACCATCGACCGCACCCTCTCTATGAAGCCCCACGTCAAAAACGTCGTAGCCCAGGTTCGTGCCGCACGCTCCCTTCTGCGGCCCGTACTATCGTCCCGATTGCCGCTCCGTGCTAAGCTCGGTGTGTACAAGGCGTACATTCGCACCCGACTCACATATGGTCCTCCGGCCTGGTTCGCGCTCGTATCCGAAACGAACCGACGCCGGTTGCGTGCGCAACAGTCGCTCGCACTACGCACCCTTGCCAACGCCCCTCGCTTTGTGCGGAACAGGACGATATCCAGGGATCTGCGCGTGGAGAGCCTGGACGATTTCGTGAGACGCTTGAGCACAAACTTGTTCGTGCGTGCTGACGGCTCGCAAGCCCGCCCGACCTGCGGGAGCTTGCGCCCTATCATCGTCAACGGCATGGCCTGCCGCGAGACTTAGTCTCCGTGACAAACCCTACTGGATAAACCACAACACCCGACCTGATGCTGGCTGATGAGCGCTCCTCGGGGTCACCATCCCTCGGAGCTCGACCTCGCCAAGCACAGGGGGATACACTGGACGAAACCCGGGCGTAGCTAGTGAGCTGTTTGTCTGCGGGGCCCACCCGCACTGACTTGACCTCATTAGCCACGCTCCCCACCGGACTAATCACCCCCCGGAACTACCAACAGGCCCATCCGGGCCCAACCCAGTGACCCGCCTGTAGTGGCAGGCGGCGCGGAAAATTACTTAAACAGGCCGTGGCCTGGAGAAGTCACCCCGAGATCCTAGCTGGGGTCTACGAGAAGAACCTGAAGAGCATTCGGATTAGCAGTTACTCCGTTTCTTTGTTAGATGGCACTGTAGTATTTTTTTGTTTCTCTGTATGTACAGTGCCATCTAACAAAGAAACGCCGAACTTCGGAGTGACTGCTAATCCGAATGCACATAAGCACGGTACTATTATAATACAGTATTGTAACTCGGCCGCATGATAGAAATAAATGCCTACAGCCGCGCGGTACGTAAACATGCGTTAGGGCTGCCCGTCTCCAGCATTTTTGTGATATTTGCCTACTTTCTGTTTCTATTTAGATTTGTGATTGTAAATATCCTTTTTATATAAATAAATGAAATACTTTGTATATTGAATAGGAATTGTTCAATAAAAATGCGTGTTGATTTTTGATTGGTAGATTTAATTAAAAAACATTTTTTTTGTTTGAAAAACCAATCGGGCTTATAAATTAGCAACCGAAAAAAATCCTTCTATAAAATAAAATAAATGTGCTTTCTCCATACGCGTTACAAAACTCCAATCCTTAGAAACTCCAACACCTACCACCTACTCAACTAGAATGCAAGAAACAGCTGACGAGTAAGTAACTTTTTATCTCAGCTAATTAACGTCTCTATAAATTACCTAACCTATAACCTACAACTCGCAACAACTCAAAACAAAAATTCTTTGGTCACCAATTAATTAATTATTAAAAAGCTGAACAGCTGACTACGAATGTTTTAAAATCACAACCCTCAAACATCTAAATATTATATATGAGTCTAGCTGTTGTTGTTAATACCGAGAAAATAAAACCAGTTTTTAGTGGTATATGTTGTTATAGTAGCAGCAGAAACACTTTGTGAAAATTTCGAAAACTGTCTAATGACACACAGACGGTAACAAATTTTTTTTAGTATTATTCATACACACAGATAATAAAGATATATTATTAATAATAAAATACCACGTCTTTAAGTAGAATTTTCTTTTTTTTGAATTATGCAAAGTAACAAAACAAACATGCACCGAAGTTTTAAAGCCGCGTCCATACGCTTGGCAAACAATAGCAAACAGCAAACAACAAACAGCAAACACGAACATGTGGATGGGTGTTTGAATGTGTGTGCCTGTTCTTGTTTGTGTTCGCCACTGTTCGGCGTCAGTGTCGGTTTTTCTTCACAGATCAAAGGCTGATTGGCAAACAGTTTGCGATGATTCCACACGCTTGCTATATACACCAGTATTGCGCGCGAGCTTACGAGCGATGGACGTCGCGCGCGCCGCGTAGATAAATCGACGATAAATATAATAGGTTTCCGCGCGTAATCATGTGTGATTGGTCGGAAGACACAACTCTTAGCTTTTTAGAAGCGTATCAAAATGAGCCATGCATTTGGAATTCAAAAGACCCTAACCACAAAAATAGGCAGAAGGTACAGGATGCGTGGACCCGCCTCAGTGTGATCATGAACAAAAATGTGAAAGAATTAAAAAATAAAAAGGAAATATTAATGGCTACATTCAGGAGACACTTCAGAAAACAACAAGCGTCGATTCGTTCTGGTGCAGGTTAGTTAGTTTTGACCAAGTATTATCATTTATCATTTTTTTATCATTACATGGAATTCAAAGCTGCTGTTTAGGGTTCCGTACCCGAAGGTTAAAAACGGGACCCTATAACTAATACTTCGCTGTCCGACTGTCGGTCAATGGCGGTAACTCATGAACCGTGGTAGCTAGAGTTGACATTTTCAAAGAATAGGTGCCGTTATAAAAACAAATAGGTACTAAAATTTAAACAAGTATGGGAATAACTAAATAACTGCATACTTATTCCCATACTTTTTTTCTTGAATTTGATATAATGTGTTTTATGTTTTAGGAGCAGACGATATCTATAAACCCATATGGTTTGCTTATAACCAAATGGAATCTTTTTTGGGGCCGGTGTATACATGCACAGATAATATAAATACAGAGGACGTAAGTAAAAATATAAATATTTTTCATAGTGGTTTATTTTATCTTTTACTATAAAGGATGTTATTATGTAAAACGCCTGCCGTCTCAGGAAGAATTCTACTCATGAACTACTTTTCCCAAGAAAAATTGGTCAAAATATATAAGAAAAATTTTTGTTTCAAAAATTGGAAGCTCTCCATACAAATCGATCGAATAGCTAATTAAGATTGTATCTATAAAAAGGCTATGGACAATGGGATGTTGAATTTATTTTTTTCGTAATTCGATATGTTTCTTTCGAAACTCACCTGAGATGCCGGGCCTTTTCAAAACAACACCTTGTACATGGTGTATCAAAACAGATATAGGTATACATACTTTGTTTGCTAACTAATAATATGAACTAATTAATATATAATTTGTATGTCACTACTACTTACAAATTATTATACAAATTATAATAAAAGGACCTAAGGTATACATTTTCGATTATTAATGTAATATGCTATGTCGATCTTCTACAAAAATATGAAGTGAATTCTTCTCTTATCTGTTTGGCGTGCATAGGTGACCTACGGGGTACGTTTGCTATATTCTGAATTGCATTATAATCACTTTCGTACCTTCGCCAAGATCCAGGTGTTATTAATTGGCCATTTCCATCAATTACATCAAACGTTCCTGGAGGAGTATATCCTTCTGGAGAGTTTTTCCTAAGGAAGTTGTGTATTAGCACACACGTCATTGTAATTTCTGTCACAGTACTCGGATCTAAATCAATTGGGCGACGATAAATTCGAAATACTGATGTTAAAATTCCAAACGTGTTTTCTACTACCACCCGCGCTTTTGATAAATTTTGATTGAATATCCTTTTTGGTGTACCGACGTTATGCTGTCCTGGGTAGGGTTTCATAACATGCTCACTTAGTGCAAAAGCACCATCGCCTATGAAAACGTACGGCACATCAATGTCCGATCCAGGAAGTGGACATGGTGTAGGAAAATCTATTTCATTTTTACAGATCTTTTGCCATAGTAATGAATTATTGAAAACACCACCATCACTGATCCTCCCTTGGCATCCGATATCTGCAAAAATAAATTTGTAGTTGGCATCAACTAACGCCAAAAGAACGATGCTAAAGGTTTTCTTATAGTTGAAATACTCCGTTCCGCTATGAGGTGGACTTTCTATAAGAATATGTTTGCCATCTACAGAACCCAGACAGTGCGGGAATTTTCTTCTATATCCTCTTTCAATATTCATCCAAGCGTCTTTTGTCGATGGCATCTGAAATAAAAATTGAAACAATGTGAGATATGTCGATAACAAGCTAAAGTAATATTAAAACATTTAAACATTTTTTAGGAAGTTTCATCACAAGAAATCCCGATTGAAAGTGCAGCTTTAGCGGAAGAAGAAAAAGACGTAGAAGATAGCGATTTAGGGCAGCCATCAACTTCGCAAACACCAAAACCACTGACTTGCCGTCGTCGTCCTGCTACCGATAAAGCGGAGCGGCAGATGTATTCAGCTTTTGGGCAGTTAACCAATATTTTATCCAAAAGACAAAAAGAAAATCAACCGCCACCAAAGGAAGAAGATGACTGCGAACTATATGCTAAATTGTTAGCCAAAAAGTTGCGAGAACTGCCTCCTGATGACAGAAAACTGATGATGTATGACATAGATACTTTGTTTGTTAATAGAATTAAAGAGAAACAGATGCGTCAAACCCTATCTTCCTATCACTCAGTCCCATACCAAATGCAAATTGCTTCACCAAGGGTAAAACGGCCGTCAACCTCCCAAACATCCTACACTGAACCTTCAGCGAATACATCCCCTTATCTAAACCGTCCGTCACCTTCTCCAACGTCGTATTCTGAAACAACGGTTTCTTTTTTAGACCAACCAGCAACTTCCCATTCTGAATCCTTACTAGTTAAATCATCAACACAAAACCAACCATCGAATCCTCAAACCAGCATTCAACCCAATTATATCACCCAACCGGACTATTCAACTCCCACCATTCACATTATATCCAATGAACTAATTGCACCACAAAGAGGACAAAATCTTATTAATCAAGCATTACTTAAAGCTTACGAAGACTTTAGTAACTGTGAAAAATGAATAATACTAAACTAAAATTTTCGAGAAGTTGTGACTTACCTACACTATGTTGTTTGTTAAGCTTAAATTTTTGTAATAAATGTGATTTATGAATAAATTTTTATGGTCTTCTCATCATCATCATCAACAGCCTTTAATAGTCCACTGCTGGTCATAGGCCTCTCCTCAGAAAGGAGGTTTTGGCCTATACTATACCACGCTGGCCAGACGGGTTGGTATAGGGTTTGTGTCAAGTTTTCCTTCTCTCTGCAGTGCTGTTGTCCTGCCTAGTTTTTTCCCTTAGTCGCTTCTTACGACACCCACGGGATGAATAGGGGTGGTGACACTCTGTATTCTTAATCCGTCACCACGCGGTCTGGTCTTCTATTAAATTAAAACAAAAAATGCCTTACCTTTATTTCGTCTCTCAGGACTTGGTTAATAGCTTTGCAGACTTCAGGTATGATTTTTGATATTACTTGGGGTGATACTTTGAATAAATAGTGTAAACTTTTATAACTGTCGCCACTTGCGATAAATCTTAAAGTTATTGCTAGACGATATTTAGCTGGTATGGCGTCTCTGAAGTCAGTATCTTGCTTTGAAATTAGGGGAGAAATTTTGTTTAGCAAATACTCAAAATTTTCAAAACTCATACGGCAGAAGTTATGAAACTGTCCTGATGGTTCAAAAAGAAGTTCATTAAATTTTTCTTCTATAAATTTTCTAAAACAAAAAGAAAACATTAATTAGAACTACACACAAAACACACACATACGTGTGTATGTGTGTGTTTTCTGTAAAACAAAAAGAAAACATTAATTAGAACTACACACAAAACACACACATACACACATGTGTATGTACTGCAATAAATGTACCCAATTTGTATATTACCATTACCTACCTTGTACGATTTTTGTGAATTTTTATCATCCACCATCGCCTTTGTCTTCTTCTTATGAGTTGATTTTGTTTATATTTAAAATAAAAATAGGTCAACCCGAAAGTGATAGCTGCTACAAGCTCGTCGTCCGCCATGTTTGCCGATTCAGAAAATACTGACATGTTCGCCAAGTGTGAGGACGACTGTTTGTGTTTGGTGATTGTGGCCGATGTTTGGGACTTTATTTGTTGTGTTTGGTATTTGTGGCAAACATCAAGCGTATGGACGGGGCATAACACAAGCGTAAGTAGGTAGGTAGGTACCTACCGTATCATGATTCATTCAGAACCGCATGTAACTCCCTATTTCACTCGTCTCAATAACTTTCCGTTACTCTATTTGCTTTATTTATTCATCCAAACACCTTTTTTTCGTGAGATAAAAGGAAATACTTATCCATTAAAAAGACACACATTATGTACCTACGTACTAGTAAGTAAAATTATTTTATAGTCTTACTTTTCAGAGTTTCCAGGTAATTTAAAAAAACTTATGTCTGGATGCGTTATTGACGAATTCATACAACCAAAAACAGCACAATATTTCCTACTCGTCATATTAACTGATTTTTAGAGAAAAAATCGCGCGGTTATTGTTAAAAAAACAACACGCAGTCCGTTCGACACTGCGGTACAGCCGTGACTGTCTGCGCCCCGAGCGCACCCCGAGATCGAGGCGCGTAGGTATAGCTCCCGTTTCGTCCGTTTGTATGAAGTTGCAGTACTGTATTATAATAGTACCGTGACATAAGTCCCGACTTCCACATGGAAGTCGCCATAGTTTCTATGTTTTTGAAATTTTGTTCGGCCAAATTAAAGAATGTTAAAACTTTAGATGACTAACCTCGCCTATTGTAAGAAAAATAATTATCATTTTCAGAAGAAAACATTTCCAAAGATAAAAAGATGTCTTTTCTAAGTTCGAAAAAGTATAACATGTAACAATTACAGCTCTAAAACTTTTTTTAAGGTTGGTGCAAAAGTATTAAAATATATTATTATGGCATAAATATCAATTTATTATCCTTAATATTTAATTTACAGTCGCAGTATACTCGACACATCGAGAGGGATCGGTTGGGAAATATTCTTGACACTTAGTCATAAGCCTCTTCAAGGCCTGGATATATTTTCTTTGCGTTTCGTCGTTCATGACGTGGGCGACATTTTTGGAAAAAATCTTCTCTCGACCTGTTCGAGCATGAATGCCCACCATAGTGACACCAATAGGCCATGGAGCATTGCCTATTGCCATCTGTAAATATGAGTCACTTGCCTGAGAAAGAAAAAGAAAAGGTTATTGTACTAGAATAGAACTAGTTTATACGGTATTAATTCATTACAATCTACTAACTGTGAAAGTAACGGAGTACCAAATACCAATATCATCACTTCATAACCAAGAAGTAAATTTCGATATATTGACAAAGGGAGGGAATGTCAAGTCAACTTTCATAACATAGTTTTTACTGTTGGAACGCCATGCTTCGGCACATATGGACTGATACCACAGCCGCCCAAAAAACCGCTCTTAAGTCAATGGTATTTTAAGGAAGATAGGTGTACACGATAAAAAGATATGGGCAAATTTCGATTTTCGCGACAACTTGTAAGTACCAAAATTTACATTAATTTTCAACTTTTTTTTATTTTTCAGAATTTTCTCTTTACTGGCTTAGAAAAAACCTTATAAGCCCTAAGCCGTGGGTGACGTAAGAGCCGACTAAGCAAGCAAACTAAGCAGGACAACAGCACCGCAAAGAGAAGGAAAACTTGAAACAAACTCTATACCAACCCGTCTGGCCAGCGTGGTATTAAGTCGTAAGCAGGTCTCCGGAGAGTGACAGTAGATTAACTTTTGTAGTGGTCAAATATTTAATATTGGATAGAGTATTCATTGAGGATGATTATAGGATACTAAACACCACACTAGTCCTTCGTGGAGCAGTATCCACCCATTTCTCATTCATTCATTTATTCACCATTACTTTTGGTGTTACCGCATGAAATGTAATGGTTAGTACAGAATATAGTTTAATTACTTTAATTCAAAAAGGTATCCTATCTAGGCATGTAAATTATTTGTGTGCACACTTACCATTATATAATTTCTATCTAGTAAATGTTTAGTAATTTCACATAAACTTTCACATATATCATCAGGTAGGTTTTTCTTTTTTAGCTTCCGGACTAGAGGTTTTAAGTACACTTGAGTTTGTGTAAAAGTGGCTCTAGCCATTTTATGTTTGACTGCCGTTTTTTCTGCTGCCGTTGCCGAGTTGAGTTGTTGTCCCCAAAGTTTTAAAAGAAACTGTAAATTTATAGAATAATAAGTATTTTGTTATATAAATATTTATACTGAATAGGATGGGTTGCAGATGGGGTAAGTCTATAGATTTCATAGGATTTTATAAGAAGCTCTCTCTCTGTCTCCAACGTAACTTTATTTTATATGTTTAGTGGCTCATTATGAATTTAAAGATTTTAATCGGGTAACCATATTTTTGTCTTGCAACAGAACATTCATTAAGAACTTAAAATATGGTATGTTCATACCTTGAAGATTCTTCCTTCTGATTCCTACAGTAAGCATAACTACAAAAACAAACTTTAATAAAAATATTTATCACTTAAAACAACTTTTATCGATTTAAATGCTTGTAGTTCTCTCATGTGTTTAACATACTTAGGTAATCTTTAAAACATATTTCATACACCTTGCTAATTTCGACTGTAATAATAGGTCTTTACCTATGAAATTGCCGCTTTGTATCGAATAAGTGAAAGTACTTATTTTTCCAAACTTTTTTATTTCTGTTATGATTACTTCGAATCACCCATGCAATCGACGCATCTTTGCCAACGCATTGGCAGTTTATTGATGCCCTTCTTGTAAAAATCAGCTGGACGGGAGGCAACAAACTCTTCAAAGGCATTTTGTACTGCCTCTCGGGAATTGAATTTTTTACCCACTAAAAAGTTGTCTAAATTTTGGAAAAAGTAATAGTCGGTAGGTGCAAGGTTTGGTGGTCACATCTGCAACCAGCTTTGGTCAATTGGTCGTCCCCACTGCTCCTTCACGACAACGCGCGACCCAATACTGCGCAACAGACAGTCTCCAAGCTGCAAGAGCTGGGGTCGAAAGCTCTCCCTCATCCGCCATACTCACCAGACCTTGAAATTTCTAGATATATCACAAGCTTGGTGAACTTATAGACTTACTTGTAATAACGTCAATATCACATTCATATCGTGATTTTTATTTCCTTGTCCCAATGTTTTAGCCATCTCCAATATTGCATCATATGTTACAGAGTCATCTAATGCTATCTCTTTGAGTTGCTGCTCAGTGTCCCCCTAAAATATAATAAAATAATATTATACTAATTGAAAAGTTTTTTTAACCTCATACATGGCTGTCTTATTCATAACCAGGCAGAGCATGTACTATGGTAACCAGACTGCTGATAAACACCCGACGACCGAATGGCGTATTGGTTTGTGTAACGGACTGCTATTCCAAAGGTCGGGTCGGTCGGTGGTCGGGTTCGATTCCCGCTCAAGTCAAACATTTGTGTGCATGAACTTTTAATGTTTGATTTGGTCTGGGTGTTTCTATGTATAATAAGTATGTATTTACAAAAAAACAGTATGTATGTATTTATATCAGTTGTCTAGTACCCATAGTACAAGCTCTGCTTAGTTTGGGACTAGATGGCGGTGTGTGCATATGGTTGAATATTATAATTTTATAAAAAAAACATACTTAAATACATATAATGAACGAATTATAGATAAATTACACCCCAACACAGAACAAAAGATCATGCTCATCACACGAAATTTGTCCTTGGGATCAAACCCATGACTTCTGGTTTAGTAATCAGAATCACTAACGATTAGATCGACTGGCCAATCCCCGGTTTTTTTTTCCTATTGTTATTTCATGCTTCTGCCATTTGCATAATTGAAGGCTATTATTATGATTCAAGGCGATTGAAATATTGTAATGCAATTGCTATAAAAGTCTGTTCAGTGGAAAACACATTTTTTCTTTCCCAATAGTATTGTTACAAGCAGTGTATACAATAAATATAAGTAGTATGTTAATTACTTTTCTTGCACTGTCAGAACAAGAAATCACCATATAACTCGTTCGTTAGTTAGTTGATGTTAATTGGCTGTGTCGTAAAACAATACTGTCCCGTACGGCCAACTCGCTTCGCTTTTATGGTGCTATCGAAATAACTAGATTAATCTCGAAGATCCGATTTAATATTCTAGACAGAACCAAGTACAATAAGAAATCTACAAATTTATATAATCTTCCGGTATTCGACACTCGATGGCACTGCAAGCAAGTATCGGAATTAAGAACTATAATCACAATGCGTAGCGTTGTGACCCACTTGATATTAGATTTCGCTTTCCTCCAGACACAACACAAGAACTACTCAATCCTATGGCGCAACAGTATTAAAAAAGCTTACCTGTGTTCCTAATGCTAATATTTCATTTAAATATGCTTCATCTACTTTTTCCATAGCTTCTTGGAAATCATTTCGTAGGCCCTGAAAATGGAAACAATATAAATATTAAATTACAAGTTATTGTTGAAATGAACTGAAATACAGCCTTTAATAAAATAAAATAGTTATTCATAAATTGCAGTTTCTACCTCCCACATGTAACATCAGAGCCTAACACAAGTACAATAATAAAGCAATAAAGTTTACAGATCAAAATTCACAACATAATTATAAACAACAATAATAATATAATATAATAACCAAACTATTTTCATTATAACTTTCCATGAGGTGAGGTGAAAAACAAATAGCTATTTGCTTCCATCACCAAAAAAAATTATCAGATAATCATGAAAAAGCTAAATACAATATTGGTTGTGTAAATATGAAACTTAAAGAAAACAATGTGGGATTTGACCTAAAAGAAATAAAAATTTAGAGGTTTTTACAAAAACAGTTCAAAGTGTGTTGTGATGCTCATCATTGCTAGGCCCAAGATACAAAAAATGCTAATATTGATTCACCATGTATTATGGTGATTATTTAACCACCAGGTGGGTTTTTGCTCTATATAAATATTCACTCACCCTATTTGCTTCTGGTTCTTGAATTTCAATCCTTCTCAATCTCTTAAAGGACTGGGCTTCACTTTCACCAAATAACCATATTGGATGTCCTCGCTCTCTCAACCTTTTAATAACTTCTGTCCTTGGTAATAACACTGTTTCAGTCTGTTCTGTTTCATTGTTTTCCTGTTTGTCAGCTGTATTGAATATAGTTTACATTAATTTATATTATTAATAATAGGATACAATTATTGCTTCATAAAATTATGCAGAACAGTCAATGAAAAAACTGAGGCTTTAGCAATAAATACTTAATACTTTAAACTTTTTAAGTTTGGTTTAAACTTGTCACAAACATATACCAAAAAGCAATATTTATATAGTTTTTATGACCATTACTATCTTTAATTGGAAACAAGAATATACTTTATTGGGGATTTGATTATTATCATTTAGAGTCAAACCTTTTGTTTGTCTATCTTTTTCTTCGATTTCTTCTGCTTCCTGTTTCTGAGAACCATACTTTTTAAAATACTCTTCTTGTTCTTTAGCTAAGAGATCTCCTCTTTTAAAATATTTCCTACTTTTAGTAGGATCCTGCAAGTTAATACATTGTATTAGTGGTGTTTAACATGTGTAACAAAAAAATTTTTTAAATAGTTTAACAAATTCTCTCTAGTGTATTTTTTAATTATCCGTTTTAGTCCCTTGAGACCACACCACTACATTAGGTCAACAACATTTACAATACAATTATTAAATCTATTCTACATAAAGATATATTGTCATGTACACAATGACTGCCTCATACCAACAAGAACCACCATACTGCCTTTGCTGACTCCAAAAGGGGGACAGCCAATATTTTGGTACAAATGCCAAGGTGTCTGAGATTATTTGTTTTAAATAACAAATTATGTCTCACGTCTTTGTGTCAGACACTCCATCATAATATGAAACGTATCTTCTAATATACCCACTCAGAGCATAGGGAAAATGGAACTTTCCTAATCATGTGTGAGAATTTATTAAGTGGCATGAGACCGTAGCGTAATCTAAAGGCTGTAATTATTACATGTTTCCCCAATGTACATTCTCATCATCTTTAGTGAATTTCTTGGTCTTTTCCGTGTCGTACTTACAATTATGTTCTTTTCTTCAAGGAGCTTACGTTTCCTTGCGATTTCTGCCTTTAAGATATCCATTATACTAACTTAGTCACCAGTATTTTAGCAAGATTTCCGTTTTTAATTTTAATTAGCGTGTTAATTTACAAAACAAGAAAATAATAAACCAAGCACAGTACGTAACATTGCGAATGACAACAAAGCTGAAATACCGTGGGTTGCCAGTTTTTTTTCAATTCTTAAATAGTGATTGCCACTGTCGGACATTGGCGTTATTAGTGTCGTTCTAATAAAATAATTTATCCTCAAAAAATGTGTAGGCACTTATTTAAAAGGTAATAATGCAAAATAAATAAGTTAAGATATTCAAAATAATATTAAACATAACATTTTAATTAATTAATACATACATACATACATACAGGTATTCATTAATCATGTAAGGTTCATAATTCTGTAACTCGTAGTACATGTGGGAGCGGATGAAGATTTAAAAATCGTTTCTTTTATATTTAAGTGACTTTAATAGAAATATTTGTAAAATTTAAATTCATAGATTTATAACCTGTAAAACTAAGTGGCCAGTATTTTGAAGTGTGTGTGTGTGTGTGTAGTGTTAACATTATGGCATATAAATGGCAACATTGGTTTGCACAAACACACATCTCTCACCCTAAACACATAGACCTTCGATTCGACCGATTCGACCTCGATATATTTGTTTAAATGTAGGTAGCGGACTCTTTTCCTGCTGGTGTTTTAAATATCTAAGTTATCACAACTTAGATTTTTAAACACTAGCAAATGTACAGAGTACTAGATACCGCAGGACGCGGGATATAATTTATGTCGGTTATAAGCAAATATGGCAACAACCTACTCGATATGTAATAAAACTTAACAAGTACCCAATTACACGGGCATAATAAAGATGCATCTAGTGACAGAATTACAGTTCTTAAAATAGTTTTAATCGTTTCTCTGCTCGAACCGTCTCTATCTCAGCAAGTCTCTCTCGATCTAGCCAATCGGCTTATCAAAAATACAGTTTGCTGTTATAGTACAGAGGTTAAACGAGCAGACGTGTCAAATGATGGTAAGTGACTACCGCAGCTCAAGGACATCTACAGTTCAAGGGTAATAAGCATAGAGTGAACAAGAGCCCCAATCTTGCAATACAAGCAACTAGAGAGATGATAATAATAGATATAGGATAATAGATAGTTTCCTCTATATCTTTTTAGTCGAGCTCTGTGGTTGACTGGGGAATATGACGTGTTAAAGCTCACTTCACGATAGCCATTCGCAGCTTACCTAAACACAGACAGAGGGAACTATCGAGCTTACATCTCTCTCGTTGCCATTATCGCTTCCACAGGGACGCTGTACCCCCGTTCTCTCTATGGTAATAAGTACATTAGAGGACGTGCGGGGGACTTTTTAGGTTTTTAGGTTAGACTTTTAGTAATTTACTCAGTGGGTAATAAGCAATCAAATAATTACTAAACCGGTTTTCTGTGAGGTTGCGGTTTATTGTTTAGGTTTGACGACTGGATGGCGTAGTGGTTTGTGTAACGGACTGCTATTCCAAAGGTCGCGGGTTCGATTCCCGCTCAAGTCAAACATTTGTGTGCACGAACATTTGATGTTTGATTTGGTCTGGGTGTTGCTATGTATAATATGTATGTATTTACAAAAAAAAAAAAAAGTATATATGTATTTATATCAGTTGTCTAGTACCCATAGTACAAGCTCTGCTTAGTTTGGGACTAGATGGCGTTGTGTGTATGTGGTAGAATATTATTATTATTATTCTCTTTATTTACTTTATATACATATTATTTACATTTTTAAATATACACTTTATAAAAAAAAATACATTTAAAAATATAAAAAATAGTAGACCACCGACATCGGGTACAGGGACCAAGACACCGGTGGTTAGGACTCCAAAGATAGGAACCTCCTCACTATACGAGCCGTGTCAAGGAGGACTGCCTTCTGCATCAGACCCTTGATCCAGCCATCCAACGTGAGCCTCTTAAGGTGTTGGTCGAGGCTCTTGGCTATCAATCCATGAGCAGATACGACTATCGGAACAATGATCACTGAATCAACATTCCACATATCGACAATCTCGTGAGATAAATCCAAATATTTAATTTGTTTTTCTTTTTCAACTTTCACGAGATTCTCGTCATGAGGAACGGCGATATCAACAATCATTGCGCGGCGCTCTAATCGATCTATCAACACAATATCAGGCTTATTGGCAACAATAGTCCTGTCTGTGATAATAGATCGATCCCAATACAACGTGGCCCGACCATTCTCGAGAACTGGGTCGGGCACATACCTATAGTATGGCACCTCTAGATTCACAAGATGGTATTTAAGGGCAAGCTGTTGGTGTACGATCCTGGCTACTTGGTTGTGCCTGTGCAAATATTCTCCGTTAGCAAGACGAGAACAACCAGAAATAATATGCCTGATTGATTCGCCAGGACGGTGGCATGCCCGACAGATGTCAACCGTACCATCTTTCAGGATATATTTCCGATAGTTATTCGTCATGATAACTTCGTCCATAATCGCACAAACAAAACCTTCAGTTTCTCCAAAGAGATCACCATGCCGTAGCCAAGTCGTAGATGCTTTTAAATCTATATCGGACCCGTTTAGGGCCCGATAAAACCGACCATGGAGCTCTTTGCCCTTCCATACTTCCCTGCGATCATTAACACCAAGTACTACAGGTCTGCGCCAATTCTCTTTAGCTAGAGCGAGCGGGGTGAAGCCGGTATCCACTGCAACTACATTGCGATGCACTCCCACGTCGGTATGTAGAAAATATTCTCTGAGATTGCATACCTCGCGATTATGTAGGGTCTTGATATTTAATAGACCGCGACCCCCAAGCTTTCGCGGGATATACAATCTCATAACTGATGAACGTGGGTGGTGCATTCGGGATGCAGTCAGCAGTGTGCGGACTTTCCTGTCAAGGGCATCTAATTCGGTCTGAGTCCATCTAAGTATACCAAAGGAATACATTAGAACCGGCATGACCCAACCATTGCAGGCTCGCACCTTGTTGCCCCCTGATAAAAGACTTTTAAGTACTTTTTTCAAGCGGCCAAAAAAGCGTTCCTGCAATGTTTGTTTCATGTTAGATTCTGGTATTCCCAACGACTGTGATATACCCAGATACTTGTAAGTTTCAGTGGCAGACAGAGATCTGAGTTTTGTTGAATCCAAAAGCTCTATTCCTTCAGATTCAACTATCACACCCTTCTTTACATACATGACTGCACACTTGTCTACACCAAATTCCATTTTGATAGAATTACTAAAGTTTTCCGTCACCTTTAGTAACTTTGTCAATTGTAATTTGTTGGAGGCTAACAGTTTCAAATCATCCATATAAAGAAGGTGAGATATAACTTGATCATCTTTCTGCAACCTATAGCCTAACCCTGAACCCTCTAATAAAGTGCTAAGAGGGTTCAAAGCCAGACAAAACCACAAGGGACTCAGACTATCACCTTGAAATATACCCCGCTCGATCTTTATTAGTACATCGTGTATCGCTGTCTGCCGACATCCTGGATAGCGAAGTGCCGTTCTCCATTGCCCCATACATGACTTCAAGAAAGTGCACAGAGTTGTATCAATTTTATACAACTCCAGCACCTTCAAAAGCCATGTGTGTGGAACCGAGTCATAAGCCTTCTTATAATCTATCCAACACGTCGCCAAACTCTTACGATTACAACGTACCTGTTGGCTAATGGTCATGTCTATGATAAGGAGGTCTTTAGTGCCACGGGTCCCACTTCTACATCCATTCTGAGAAACTGACATAATCGAATTATTATTAATATGTAAAGTAATTTTGAGTCTCAGAATAGATGTTAGAAGTTTATACATGGTAGGTAAACATGTAATAGGTCGAAAATTTTTGGGATCCATGACACTACCAGACTTATAGAGTAAGTGGGTTATGCCAGTGGTTAAAAATTGGGGTAATGAACCCGAATCCAAAGCTGCCTGGAATTGAGATGCCAAACGCGCATGTGAGCTTCGGAACCACTTAAGCCAAAAGTTGTGCAGTCCGTCTGGACCAGGTGATTTCCAATTCGGTAATGAACGAACTGCACAACTTACATCATCTTTATCAATTTTAACAGGTTCCATAGGTGTTATAGACTCACATGAGCGTCTGACATCCTGCAACCAATCACCTTCTATATGAGTGACAGGCACCGACCAGATGTTACGCCAAAATGTATTTGTGACATTTTCATCTGGCAAATGCCTATCACCCACACATGGATCCGGTTCCTCCCATTTCCGGTACACCCACTTCTCATTTCTTTGGAACATCCGATTCTGATTATACCGATCTATTCGTTTTTTATACCGTCTTATCCTATTTGCCCATGCATATTATTATTATTATTATCTTTATTGGAACCGACCCATAAGCTTCGTTAAGGTGAATAGAGTGTACTGAAAGCTAAAAATTTAAATTTGATCTGCAATTTTGGACAATATTTTTTAATCCGAGATAGGTACATGAATTTGCCATGTTAAGAGATCGGTATAGATATTTTACTACAGGTTAGTAAACTATGTATACCGTCAATGAGTTTAATAAGAAATATTATGTCCAAATTATTTGATTAATGATTGGTAATATGTTGAAGCGGATTCGATGTGATAAAAGAATAACATTCAATATTAATTTGGAACAAACTTCGAATGTAACATTACTATAACAATTATATTCATTCCTTAGTAGGTAGGTTATAATATTATTATACCCACCGATACTGATCTACCTAATGCGGTCTTTCAGTAAATATATAATATACATAGATCTATTGTTTGTGACGTTAAAACTAAGCTACTGTGTTACGCATAAGGCAGAATAGTTTTGTTAAGGCCAAGACTCTTGCCCCTTAGGCTTTTGAAAATGGAATGTGTCTGTCCATCAAGGTCACAAAATTACTGTAAAATATATGTAAAAAAAAAACTGTAAAATGACTTGGCATAGCAGCATGCGACATCAAGTATTTTTAGAAAGAAAACATACTTACACCATGTTGCTCCTTTTTTAATTTGATATTTTAAGCAGAATTTTGATATCTCTTTTTCTTCTTTAGGGTACAAGTTAAAACTACGGGATTTATTTAATTTCTAATCCTGCAGAGTGACTAAATCCAGGACCACGTGTTTTTTTAATAAAAAAGTATTGTCGGGATCTTTTATCAATAGCTGAATTGTGAGCTAAGTCATACTATGTCTGTCAATCAATATTTTATACTTCCGTTTGTACAAAGGTAGGGACTACTCCATATATTATGTCATGGACTTAATTTTAATGTATAATAGAAATTTTAATGGAATAAATTTTAATGTTGAAGGTTTACTTTGTCCCTTAATTAATAGATTTGATTAAAAATGGATACAATCACATTTAGATTATAATCGTCAAGATTAATATCTCATAATAATGATGAAGAATTATAGATAACGATAAATTGATAGGCTAATCTAGCAACAAACAGAAAAGTAATTCATTTGTTTTAAAAATTGCATAAAGGCATGTAGAAAACAAAATGAATAAAACATTAATACATTTTTTTCTTGTTTTAGTTTTATCTTTTTCATCTACGGAAAAAGGTTAGTGGCAAAATATTGTGTTTTACCATTTTCTTCTGAAGTTGGAAACTTAAGTGATTTGTTTTAAATGTGTCTGTAAATAGTTCCAGGCCTGTTTCCCAGATTAGTTGGAGGTCATTTAGCACCATACGAATATGGAAAGTTCCACGCATCCCTGCAAAATTTAACTAATTACCATGTTTGTGGAGGAGGTATAGTGTCTGAATGGGTTGTTGTTACTGCAGCACATTGTGTGGATGGGTAAGTTAAATATATAATTTGTTTAATTAGGTCTATTCATTGTGAAAATTTGAATCTCTTACAAGACCAAAGTAAACTTTAACCCACTAAAACAAAATTATAAGCCTGTGTGACTTAAAAGAATAATCTCCCTATTTTTGGGAGTTTTTCTTACAGATGCTTAGGTTAGGGAATGATATAATTGTTACGGCTTTGATAATGTTATTACAATAAATTATGTTTAAATATTAGAGTGGTGTGATGAACGGCATTACTGTTTTTCATTTATTCAATAATGGTTCCATTTCCCTGCATTACATTTGTAGAATAAATAAACATTCAATTATTTTCAGAGTGAACCCTGATTATATAAAAATTGTAGCCGGCACTAACTATTTAGGAGGAGGTAGAAAACGGTATGACGTAGCAGAAATTATCCCTCACTATAATTATGAGCATACTGAGGTTACCAAAAACAACGACATAGCCTTAGTTATAACCAAGGAACCGTTCGATTTAAACTATGCTAATGTCATTGGGATAAGAAAACAGGAATTAGTCGAAGGAGACAATGTTTCATTAACAGGATTTGGCGCTCAAGAGGTAAGTAGAATGTTAAAAAAATAAAAAAGAAATATATACAGTATAATAAAAATTCAATTTGTGCAATAAGGGATACGATTATGGTACCAGGCCATGACTTCGCCTGATGAATTAGTTCATTAGGTATAAAAGTATGCTTTACATATCTGACAACATGTTTAAGTTCCCAGTAACGTCAATCATGTGTTACTAGGTGTTATACAGTTTTATACATAAATATGATGTGCGTCAATGCAAAGACAATTAAACAAACACTACGCCTAGTAGGTAATGAGTTTTAAAAGTCACGTTGTCTATTTTCTTTAGCCTTTCTTTTCATTTAGTCTGTTTTCTTAAAATAAAGAATGAATAAAGCAATCAACGGCACTAATGTCGCGAAAAGAGTGTATTTCACACATCTCACACGCGGCCTTCTGATCCCGAAGTAGGCAGAACCTGTGATATGTTAACCAAACTGCTGATTAACATATTTATTTCTAAATACGAGTACATATATACTGTACTTAAATTACACCTAGAAGTAGAACCGAAGCCACGACCAGGATAACTAACCACTGTACCAACAGGCTTTCAAATGAGTAATGTTTGCATTTAAAAAAAAAAGTAATAAAGGCAAAATTATTTTCAGCCCTATGGTTTATCGAGTTATCACCTGCACATCCTTAACATAACTGTTTTTAGTCAGGAAACTTGTGAATTTGCCATGAGGTATTCGCGGAGGAATGTAACCAAGGAAATGTTTTGTACATTTTCACGGATTGGTCAAGGAACTTGTCATGTAAGTATTGCTGTAAGCTGCCATTTTTTAATAACTTTAAAGAAAAAATAAATTATTTGGTTACTTCAAAATCTCTGGACACTGGGTACCTCCTACATATAACATGGGACGTAACAGGAGAAGTCCTTTAACTGTTATCAGTAAAACGAATTAAAAACAAAAAAATATAAATTAAATATCTTTATGTAATGTTCATTGAAAATGATTTTTTTGCTGATGTTAATTTGGTCAAATCTAGGTAGGTAGGTAAAGGAAATAAGACCTAGAAAAGGATTGCTTCATATGAATTGCCTATTTTCAAGGATTGACAAAAAATAAATACATTTCCAGGGTGATTCTGGCAGCCCTGTGATAAAAGACAACGAGCTGGTTGGTGTAGTATCCTGGGGTATACCTTGTGCCGTGGGATTCCCAGATGTCCACACAAGAATAACGCCTTACGTGGAATGGATTCAGAAGCATATTCTAAGAGCTTATTGCGCAGACCGTAGAGAACCGCGCAGCAGCATTTACAGAAAACTAATATATTTAGCAAGACGCTTATCTAACGTATCTGAAGGCCATAAGAGATTCCTAGGAATCTAAACATGGAATATATATGCTGATACTAATAGTAAACGTGTTTCAGACTTATTTCTTTACTTTTATAGTGTAATTTTACCTTATAGGTAATCCATTTCTTTAATTCTGTCAATTGATTGTTCATATTAAACCACAGATTACCCCCTTTTTTCTTTTTCCGGTGCGGAAATCCCCTCTGATATCACCCACCAGTGGGGTGATTATATCGGATTCAAACCGACCAAAAACCGCACCAGTCTCGAGTACCAGTAGCCGGAGGGCTGTGTTCACGGTCCGGCCACCACAGTGGTGGCACGCAGGCATTGGCTCCTTGCGGATCAGACGCAGGTGATCTCCGAAACAACCTTTCCCGGTGATCACCTGCGTCAGCCGGTATGAGAGGGTTTCGTGACGCCTCTCGAGCCAATCCTCCATAACGGGTCTTACCGCCGCAATAACGGCGCGTCCGGAAATCGGATACCCAAGTCATGCCTTCCACTCCTCTACGAGGACCTGGCGGAACATGGATTTCTGATCCTCGATTTCTCGAGTCTCAGGACACCGACCTATCCCCGCGCCTCCTTGCGCCACCGATACAGAGCCGCAATTGCTTTCGCCGCCAGGTCCCCTCGGTAGAGTCCCGGCCAGGAGACTCGCCGCCTCAAAGGAGATCGTACGGTACCCCCTTATGACCATGATGGCCAGCGCTCGCTGCAGTCGTCGCAGTAGTGCAACATTGCTGGCCTTTAGGGCGCCTGCCTATACTGGGGCCCCATAAAGGGCCATGGAACGCACAACCCCCGAGTAGTCTCCTGCAGGAGTCATCGGGTCCCTTCATGTTAGGCAGCAGCTGCGAAAGTGCAAGCGCTGCTCCAACTAACTTGGGGATCAGACCTCGGAAACGATGTCCGAAGTCCCATCGAACAGATTACCCCCTAGGGGATAATCTGTTATAAATAAAATATTAAGTTGTATGGTGTTTATTTCAGGATTATAATCCTAAAGTAGCAATAAGAATGAACTAACTGTACCCCGAATATAATTTATTATTAGTTCACATTTAAGTTTTTAAGTAGATGTAGTAAAAATAAGAAAAAAAAGAATGGCTGTGATAGTTGGGCATGTCAAAAAAATGAGTGGAGGCCCAAGAGACGTACTGACCAGATCGGCATTGCACTGGTCAATAGCATCCGTGACCGACCAGCAAGATGAATTTAGAAGAAGCGCAAAGAAGCGCAAGTGTTTAGCAAGAAAAGTGATGCTTAAGCTGAATGTTAATTTTTTTTTATTTAGTAGGTAAGTTTTGGGCATTGAAATCACTAGTAAGATAGCATACATTTTATTGTAAATAAAAATGCACTTTATTACATTAAATTATACTTAATTTAATATTATTTGGCATGCTCCTTCCTATTTAGCTTATATGATTTTAAACTCTCAATATTAATCTGGAAGTAAAAAAGAATAACGCTCAGAATATCTTCTTTTGTTTTAAAAAGACAGCTCCAGCAATAAGGACAATATCCTGTGTCACGGGGGACTTTACAAAGATCAATGAATCGGACACAAAGAATACCCAGACTGAGAACAACAATTTGTGGATCACACAAAATGTTGTCCCATGTGGGGATCGAACCCACAACGCTCAGCGAAGTGGGAAGAGGCAAGGTGACCGCTTATGCCACTACCGCTATCCGTGCAGCAGAATATTACTAGTGAATTTTTTTATGCATATAAATTAATGAAATCAATGTTTCGGCGTATAAGTCATACGGTCAGGTCTAAGACCGGTCGTTAAGATGGTCAGGTCTATAACGACGATAGAGGTACTGGTAATTGACATATTATTGGTGGATCGTGTGATTGATCGTCAACTGAACATATGAAATTCAGCCGAAAATGTAGAGAAAATGTTTAGTTGTTATCGGCTTCGGCACCAGGTTTAATCAATAACTAAGATGTGGACGTTTTAATAATCAACTTACATTATAATCATGCTTAGTAGTTTTGATGTCAACCAAAACAGCCATAACAGGTCTTCCGTGAGCACATTGAAAAGGTGTCTTACAATTGCAAAGTTCACGCAGTAATTCGACACAGTCGCTCTTGGATAATTTATCACCGAATTTTATCGCAAATCGACAAGCCTGGAAATTAATACACCATTATTAGTCTTGTCTTTATTATTCATCTATAATCCTGTGATAATATCTTAACTAAGATCTATTACGGTATTGCCGGTTTGATTAAGTATGTAGACAATAGCTGAGTTTTGCTATTGTTTAATATTTTGATTTAGGATTAAAATATCTTAGTTACCTCACTGAATATTAAACCCATTATTGATTTCGGGTACGATGAAATGCATCCTTTTTGTAGTTTTATTACGTTGATTTCTTCTACTATCAAGTTTTTTATGGCTTTCATTACTTTCTCAACCTAGTAAAATAATAAAGTCAACGTGATTTACTGCTGACAACACACAAAAAAAATGCGTCTCGGGTTAGTTAAAGTTCGTTATAAACATTTTCTTCAAAATGTGCGATTGTCACATGTTTATGGAAAATACTCGGGTATTGGCGTCTTTAGATGAGGCACATTCAGATTTGTTTCCTATCATCACAATATCTTTATACAATTACCTCTCTAGGCTTTTTACCAAGAATGGCTTCAGGTATAGAGCTTATCGATAATTCATTTTTGTCCAATATAGACCATTGTAATCCTAGTTGATTGAACTTATCCTTGTAATTGTGAAGGTAAACTATTTCGTCTTTGGACATCTTGATTATAATGTTATCAAGGGGAACGCTTTTCCATTTATCTTCAATAAAATAGTCTGAAATTGTTAAAGGAAAAATTAACTCCCCAGCATATTGCGCCGGCCTGCTTCTGCTAGGGTGATAGTTTTATACATAGAGGTTTGAGCTTGTGGAGGACGGCGGTCGTTCAGCAAACAACTAGGCCACGTCTCTGTTCCGCCCACGCCGGGAAATCTACCAGCGTGTGAAGCGCCGTGTTCACGCTCTGGCCATCGCAGTGGTGGCACCCAAGCTTTGGCTCCTTACGGATCAAACAAGTAATCTCCGAAGCATCCTTTTCTAATGATCAACTGCGTCAGCCGGTATAAAAAGGTCCCATGGTTCCTTTTAAGCCAATCCTCCATAACGAGTCTTGCCGCCGCTATGTCGGCGTGCCTGACCAGATAGCATACCGTGAAAATTGTGAAATCTTGTGATAAAAAAAAAAAATACATATGGGTTCGTAAAATGTCGTAAACACGCAGTACAGTATCTTTTTTGACTTATCATCATCAATAATAATATACAATAGATACAGATATATAATTGGTAATTAGTTACTTTTAATACATTGATTGCACAATAATTACTTAGTTCACAAACGAACCTGTCAAATTCTTCTCTAATCTTATTCTCTCGTGAACTGCGTGTTGATCAAATAGTATCAGATAATCTTCTAGAGTTTGAAATTCTCGACTTCGTCCTTTCATGACTGCTGCTATAAATTTACAGTCTACTTGATTGAGTACCTGTAATGTTATATTAGAGAAATAATGAAAGTTACAGTAGTAAACCATTACATAGACAGTTATCTTACCCGCGCTTCTTTTAAAGACATTTCATCAAAAAATAAAGATGTATTATCCTTATGAACTTTAATTTTAAACCTGTGAATATCTTTAGTTGACAAGTCTTCAACGTTTTGTACAGTTGGTTCATATATTTCCGTTTGCATTTCTATGTCATTAGCAAAGTCATTGTAAATTTCCTGAAAAAGCTTTCACGTGTGCTTATTTACAGTAATATGTATAGAGCAAGCAATGGATTAGCGGTCTAGCTTAAAGCTTCAAATGTCTAAGTTTCCTAATATGTTTATTTTATGGCATTTAAGAAAGTCAAACGTATAAATTTAATGCGCAAAATCGCAAAATGTATGCTACAAGTGTTATTAAGTTTTTTTTAACTTGAAGTTAGGCTTTTAGCAAACTGCATAAGTAATGTAGTATCTATTTATATTTTATCGCGACTCGATCCCCCAAATTTCACTATATAATAATATTTTAATGACCTCACAAGATTAAATCTCTGCCCTGCAAACAATTAACTACACATACAGTTAAATCTATATTATATATCTATGGTTCATTTTAAATATCGATATATGCTTATTTTCCCGAATTTCTTTTTAATAATTATATATTTATACTTACATCTTCGTAGTAATCCTCATCTAAATTATAGTCGCAGATAGCTTTAGATCCGTTTTTTTCAAAAATTTGAGACATACCTGAAAAGTTGAAGTTTCCATCAGAAATATCACTACGATCTTAAACACTGCAACTAATAGATAAGATGTCGTTTCGAAAACGTTATAAAATACCTTTAGGTAAAAATCGCAGTCTACCTTTGAAATTAAAGTTGTCATCATTCAACCCAGATAGCGCTAGATCAACATCGTTGTCATAATCATTATTATATCTATTCAAATTTGGCAATCCTTGCCTTTTTCTATTGTTTATTTCTTCTACATTTGTTATGTTTGAAACTAGTGATTGTCTACTAATTTCATCCATAGAATTTACATGATGATTAAAGTGATGTGACACATTTTCGTTATTATTCTGCGGTGATATAGTTTGTGCAGGATATTTTTCATAATGTTCATGGCTACAGTTAATGTTAACTATATTGTTGTATAACGAATCATTTGATTTACTTTTTACATAAAAGCTACAAGCAAATTCTTTCTCAATACTCTCGTTTTTATGAAATACTGTTTCACAGAAATTCATTGGTTGTATATCTTCGTCTATAATCACCTCTTCATTTATAGATTTTGGCTTAGAAATTAATTCCGTTTCATAACTATTTTGGCTTACTTGCCTTCTATTGTTTTCTACGTCTATTTCTATAATATCATTATTACTGCCCGTCTTTGAACAGTGCACTGAATTGGTTCCAAATATTTCAGTCGGTATAACACTATTCACTTCATGCTGTGTTACGTTATAATCAGTAGATTTGCTACAAGCAACTAAAGTATAAGTGTTGCCAAAATTTAAGGTGGGTTTACTGATTGGTGAGTATGAATTTCGTATGGAATGGTTGTTACTGTTCATATTATGCTCAGGAAACTCAGACTGATTCCTTTTTGGTATTTGTTCTTTATTAAAAGGATTATTTATTTCGTTGCTTGTTGTAAATTCAATCGTATAAGATTTATCTATCATCTGTTTTCCATAGTTAGTATACAACTGACTCTGCTTAACAAAGTATCCATGATACTTGTTTTTAAAATAACTTCTGGGTAGATGTTCATTGCTACTGGAAATGAGGTTACCAATGGACTGACTTGTAATAAATTTTGTATTCTTAGCTTTACTGATGGAGCAGTTTTTATTTTGATTTACAACTATATGTGTTTGTGTATTTTCATCGTACATTTTTAGGTAATTTGTTTTATTGTAATTATGGCTTTGATACGTTAAAGTGGATGCTGTGTGTATATTAGACAAACAGCTCGTTCTGTAATTTTGAGTGAAATGTTCTAAGAAATCTTCTTTATTAATATCTTCACACCTCAAACTATGAGAGTTCAAATCGACGGGGGCATCGTAATAGTTATTTGCATGTCTAATTTTACTTTCCCTATCGATGTTTACACTGTAAGTGCTCTCATAAGTTAATTTAGACTGATGTAATCTATTAGGTATCTTTTCATACTGTGACTTTTGGTTATTATGTTGGTAAAACATATGGTTGAATGTAGTGTATTTACTATTAATAACATTATGATTTTTTATCCCGATTTCAAAGCTGTTATCACCTTGATGCATACCTCTCTTATCTTGGCCTTGTTGACTCCCTAAAATTGTTTGTACCAGATCATAGGTGGTTTTAAAGGGGTTTGTTTTTATTTTATGAACTACATAGTTATCAGTAGTTTTTTTATTAATTTTACGTAGACAGGGGACTTTAAACTTTGTATTGTTTAAGAAATTTTGAACTTTTTGGGCCACTATTTTACTTTTTTGAGGAATTGTATCTGTGTCATTTAAGAATTGGTAAATTTCTATTTGTCGATTGTCATTTTTAGGTTTTCTTTTTTTCTTTATCCTGGTTTTACAGATATCATTCTGAACCGGTTGCACATCTTTCTTCGCTACAGACTTACAGCTTTTTCCATTCTCCTTATTTTTTTTGGATTTCTTGATTTTAGTATGTTTAACAATATTTTCTATTATCGGATTACCCCTTTCAATTTTACGTTTCCTTAAGTTTACTGGAATACTTTTATTCATGGGTATGAGTGTTCTGGGCTTATCATTACCTGTACTGCCTTCATCTCTAACCAAATCCTGTTTTTCTTTACTCTTGGAATTTATTTCTAGTACTTTAATATTAGCAGCATTATCATCGTCATGAAGATGTGGTACGTCGCTCAATTTTGGCAATGGTTTTCTATGATTTACTTCTTTATTTTTGTTCCTTTTCCGTCTCTTAATTAGTCTACCTAACATTGAAAATTATGTATCAAATTTCAAGTAATAGTTTTAATATAATATTTATATATATAACTAACCTTTAATACCATTTTGTAGTTGCGAGACCCTTATATTTTTTGAATTACTTCCTAATATTTTATGCACAATTTTTTTTATTTCGTGCCTAGTATCTTCATTAGTGTTCCTTTTCCCAGGATATAATATATCTTTTGGTTCACTTCTTTTTATTTCTTTCAGATTAATATCACCAACATAAAACTTGATTAGTTTTTCTAAAATAACTGTTATTTGCTCCCAGTTCTTAAATTCAACAAGTGACTGACGTAATGTATTACTTATGTCGTAATCGTTATAGGAACATGTAATAAGTATAAAATAAAATGGGATATCTGATTTAAACAAATGCTTTTCTTCACAATTATTCTGTTGAAAAAAATTGTGGGGTTAATAAAAACAGCACATTTATTTTTATGCAAATGTACATAATTATAAGTATTCTATTCTATGCTACTTATCTATTATATTCCCGTAAATTGGAACTAAGTAACTTACCCTATATTTTGATTTCTTTATGTCTGTCAGACGTACATGTTTTCTTAAATATTCATTAGTGATTTTATGAAGCTTGCTAAAATTTTCAAGTAATTTTCCGTTTAAGTATATCCAGTGCTTTTCAACTACTTTTTCTGTTTTACCAATGTACGCTTTTACTTTGTATTGATTCTTTTCAATCTGCAATTCTTGGACGTCACGTTGATTAATATCAAAAAGAGTTGATAAGGTTTGATAAATATCCCTTTGTTTATGAATTTTGAATATAATTTCATTTTTAGAATCGTCTCTTAAACTCAGCGATATGTTGTTATGAACGACAGAAAACTGCTCTAAGAATGCTTTGATTTTTTGCAAATCATTTAGTGGGTGTATTGCTTGCCTTTGGATATTTAAATTGTAAAGAAAACCTTTAACGTCTACCTGTAACCAAGGAATATGTTAAGGTTCTTTAAGTACTGTTTTACATACATTTTGGTCGTTTGTTACATTTTTTTTTCTTTATTGAATAATCAAAAATATAGCTAACGAACTCAAAGATTCGGAAAAAAATACTAGCAGATTACAACAACGTAAATTAATTATTACTTACTGTTGTTCCTTTTGAAGGGCGTGTTGTCATTCTTAACAAATCTTTCTTTTTATTTTCATAAAATGTCTGCACCCATGTCGCCTCTCCATCTTTATACCTAGATATTATACTTACACTTTGTGATATTTCTATAAGATTTGTTAAAAATTCACCGCGAAACCCATAGTATTTCGGCACTGACTTTAATGTCGTAATGTCAGCAACCTTGCTGGTCATATAACGTTTACCTAGTGCTTTGAAATCATCTTTCATTATACCACACCCGTTATCAATCACTTGCAACTTGTTTTCTTGAATATTTACTCTTATCGCAATTGATGTTGATTCGGCATCTAGTGAGTTGTATACCTGAAATTATCCCAATTAAGATTATAATCATAAACGAAAGTAACTTCATTGTTTTGTTTGCTAGTTAACCTAATTTAATTGAATGAATATGAAAATTTATTAACAAGTTGGTGGGGGTCCAGAAAAGCTAGACTTTACATTTAAAAAACAAATAAACTGTTGCCGAGGGTTAGCTAGTAGTAGTAGTAGAGGGAGAAGCTAGTAGTACGTATATAAAGAAAAAATTCTTAATGAGTATCACAACTTCCATCAAGATATCTATAACAGATATTTGTTTCAAAACCATATTACTCTCATTTTAGTAGGAGACAAAGTATCTACAAAACTAAAATTTGACACTTACTAATTCCGCAATAGCTGTTTTGTAGTTGTTGATTTGCGCTGATGCGGATAATATTGAGCGGACATCGTGTGACAACGCTTTCAAAGTCATTTTTATATTTTAATACTTAAAAATAATTAAAAGTAAACCTATATTATTGACATAAATTAATTACAATCTAGATGACATAGAGAGAAAACAAAATACATTTAAGATTAAAATTTTGAATTTAGAAGACTATGGATACAACGTTTTTTTATGAAACCTTAAAACCTCTTTTGAAATTTTTCGTAACTTTGATTGCTAAACACAACTAGAGCACAAAACTTACGCTTTATAAAAGAGAGAGACTTTTCTAGAGTCTAGAGGTATACAACATAGTTTAAATAAGTTTTATAGTATTTAATGATGCCATTTACCATTATCCATGTGATAGGTACATTATTTCTTATTATTATGACATCTAACAGTTTATATTTTTTAAATTAATATAATTATTTATATTGACATGAAAATAGGTTTCGAACTTCTCATGATGTAATAAATAAGCTCAAATTAATTATTCTTATTGTAGTCTTATGGCATGCCTAAATACCTAGAAAATGGAAGGTTCTAATAAAATATTTAATATAAAAAAATCGTCAGGTTTATGGATTCTTAATGAAGAACATAGTCCTACATACAGCTAATGCTTTAACATTAAATCAATGTTGTTCAATGTTGTTATTTATTAAATATATATTATCTCATAAAGTAATGCTGGATATACATTAGTATATAATGTCTGCTTTATAATCGACAAATTACAAATGTAAAAATTTGCTCTTCATTTACCAGGATTACTACCAAACTAAAAAGAATTAAGTATTTCTTTTGAGGAAGTCGTTGTAATTGCTATAAAAATTCATATGTTGTTTAAAAAATGCGCACCTAAAAACATTAAAAATCCATTTTTTTTTTCGTATTTAAAAGCTTCATCTCCTTAAATGTGACACCTTTAACCTTTAAAATTAAGCGTTTCCTTTGAAGAAAAGTATTTCAGATAGAAAATAGTGACACATGCCATAGAACGACAGTATCTACATATTTTATAACTTGTTATTATTATTGTGAAGTGTTATTACATTTCAGTTCGTTCATATTGATTATTGCTAGTAAATGTTAATGGTCTATGGGTAATTCCTTGAAAACTACATTTAAATGTACGGGAATCGATTTGCCTTTAGCCCTGAACTCTGATCAAAAATATAGGTACATCGATAAGGCATGAAGTGTTGAATGCCGAGTAGTCGTTTACAGGCCCTCATATGATTGACCGTATAGTGCTTTTTTATAGGGAAATAAATGAAATTTTAGTATTACACTTCGTGTTATTGACTATCGCTAGCGGTATAGTAAATATAAATTGTGTTTTTGGACGTCAATAGCCGTTAAGTCCTTTTATAATTTTTATCATGAATTCTTATAGATACAATCTAAATTACCTAATAATGTTGGTTTAATAGTTATCTTAATTTGAGAATTATGAGTGATTTTGTTGAAAAGGAGATCTTGATGTTTTGGGAATACGTCAAAAGGTAAGTAGACAACCTTTTTGCAATCTAAGCATGTTAACAGCTCATAGACAAATGTCTATGAAAGGTTAAGGTGCTTATGATTTTTATACAATTTAGAACCTAATGTATTGCATTGTTGACAAAATCGATATTTCAAACAAAATACTATTACTTACAGTTACAAAACTGATAATTTTAGAGATACCAAAATGGCTCATACAATGCATTTTCTTTGAACTATAATAAACTTATCAGTAAAACGAACATTATCTCATTGGAAAAAACGTAACGCATTCCTTTGAGATATGACTCATTTAGAGACTCAGTCAAAAGAATGGATGAGATGGCTGTCTGCTTTGAAATATTCATTGTATATTACATTTGTTTATTTAACATACTTTGCTCGTTTTTGTTCTTTAAATAAAAGGGATATCCACTAATCAAGAAAGACTGTAGCAAATACTTTGAGACTGGTGACTCAAAACTCAAAACGTTACGGCCTTAGCTCTAAGCACAAATTTTTGTTTGTATGTGTAGAGTGGTACACAAAGTTGTAGTCATATTTTAGCCGGATAGTAGACCCCCAGAATAAACAAGTAAAAAGCTAAAAATTTGTGAGAAAAAAGGAAAAAAGAAATCATAAGAGAGAAAGTTAACATGAATGAAACTATGGGTATTTAAGGATGTAGATGGAAGGTCCGAATGTCTAGTTTTTGTCAAATGTTCCCATTTTAAAAGAGTCGTTAAAATGAAAATCAATTATATGTTGTATAAGAAATGCGCACCTAAAAATATTCAGAAGCATCTCTTTAAATGTGACACCTTTGCCATATACACCCTTTTAGAAATATTCACATCATTAAAACTCGGCAACAGTTACTCAATAAAAAAAGCAAATTGGGTGATAAAAATAGAAAAAAGGGGTTTTGAATTTTTGTCTTTTCTGTTGCCTTGGCTAATACCTTGCAACAGTGTCCGTTGTTTTTAATGATCTGGTGATATTAAAACAATATTTACAAATAAAAAAAGATAATATTTAAAAAGATAAGATTATATTGAAATGGTCCCGAAAATGAAGAGAGACGATTGTATTAATTATACCTTTGATGATAGGTCAAAAAAAGCGATCCTGATAAAAAAAAGCATTATTCACATTGCGTAATGGTTAGAACAGCTAAATGCACGATAATTTCATAACAAATATATCAGTTTACTAAAAAAAAGGCACAATGTATGTTTAAAATTACAGCTGTATTTGATTGACACGATAACGTAATTATCGGCAAACAATTCTAATAAAACGTTTTAGTGAAACGTATTTTCTTTTTTATCGTTGTTTTTTCTGATCCATGAACCGATCATCAAAGGTATCATTAGTGCTATTGTTTATCATCGTTTTCGGAAGCGTCTCCCTAAAACCCTTCTTGTATGAAAGTTTAATATATATGGTAAAAGTAGTTATTTAAAAAAAATATCTTGAAAAGGAGTAGATTTTAAATACAAAGGCATACAGATTAAATGTAAATTCTTTTCGGTAGTAAAATATTTTATATTATTAATATTATTATTTTAACTAATATTATGAATACCGGGGGAAAAACACTTCGGTACAAATGGACTAGGTTCGACCGGAGTGATAAAACGATCTCACAGAAAACCGGTGTTGATAGTGATGAGGAATGGAATAAAATCACAATCATATGTGATAAATCATATCATCACACTTGTGACAGATTTACAAAACTACTGCGACTTAATTATTATTATAACGCTAGCGCAAGACTCGCGAAAGGTATAAATCTAAAAAAAAATTTTGATTGATTTTAATGCCATTTATCTTTCTATGACGAAACCATAATCACATGTGAAATCGCTGTGACCAAAAACCAGTCATTCAGCAAGAGAATATGATTTAAAACTAACAATAATTTACAGACATTTAGTAGTGATTTTACCGGAGCCCAAATCCCCATATCCCCATATTCAATATTAGGGGAAGAGGACTCAAAGGACGTCATCGTACTAGTGTCTCTTGAATTGCTATTGTCCATGGGCGGCGGTGTCACTTACAATCAGTGGGCCTAGTCAAAGTTTATTTAACATCTACCCGCTCTCGATGGCGAAAGTGTTTAGCATTGCTATTGGTGGAGATTTCAATGCGGGCCAATCGCAACGCCGAACGCGGTCACCGTGACGAGCGAGTTGATGTGTAATAAACACGCACCTCAGGTGAATAAGCTGCTCGTTTGCCCCTATACCATAAAAAAAGAATTCAATGTACCTACGTTCGTTTGTGACGCTTTCAGCCCCAAGTTACTTAATCAATAATGATCATCATAAAATTTTGCATACTCTTTATCAGCCGTTACTTATAATTTGTTATTACTTATATATAAAAATAAAAGCAGCCCATCCTAGAAAAGATTGGTATGATATAATGTGTATGTAGGTGTCAGTATCTCTTATCAGTAATAAATCAATTTCTGATATTTTCAAATTTTATTGAAGTCTTTTAAAATACATGTATGGTTAAAGACACACATGTACCTACGAGTACGTTCGACACGAACTCATCGATATAATCTAAACTGGGTCACTAATGATGTCAATTGGTATAAAGTAAAGAAAGAATTGTTTAATATTTAGTATGTAGTCTGGCAACTCTGTGACTATTTCATATACTCAGGTAGTTACCGGTATTCTTCGACTAATAAAGTTAATTTTTATACAGCTTTCACAAATGTATAAAGTGATTTACGAGAAAGGTTTAGATGGATAATTCACCACGGTTTCGTATGAATTTGGTTAAATCTGATGACGCTTGTTGTAGCTGTAGAAAAAATACAATTTCGACTTTTAGCTTTCATGGGGCTTTCATGCGCTGAGTGAACCCATATAGATATAAAAAACAATTTAATACGGCATTATTTGACTGCACGGATGGCGGAGAGGTTTAAGCGGTCGCCACGCCGCTTCCTACTACGCCGAGTGTTGTGGGTTCAAACCCCACATGGGACGACACTTTGTGTGATCCACAAATTGTTGTTCTGAGTCTGGGTGTTCTTTGTGTCCGTTTCATGTATGTTTGTAAAGTCCCCCGCGACACCCGAGACGGCGTGCGGTTTTAAGTGGGTTCGAGTCCGACATAGCCACCGGTGGGTGGTATCCAAGGGGATTTCCACACAGAAAAAAAAGGCCAATACCTCCTTTCTAAGGAGAGACCTATGCCCAGCAGCTGTGGACTATTAGGGGCTGTTGTTGAATATACTTAATTGTTTGTACTTGACTTAATAATTACGACTAAGTGCGCGTTGTTTTCACTTAGATCTATTTACGTAGTGATGAGTGTATGTATGTTTTCTCGTCACTCAGGACTCCCTGGCCTGTATCTCTCAAGGGGGGATATGTGTAGGGGGGTAGGTGTAATTATACACACCCATAGTAGAGGGTAAGTTAATCGCGTATGTAACCACTCTTTAGCTGTTATGAATGGGAAAATAATATTTACTTGAAATCCATTATACAAATGACATTTCAAACTGTCATTAGCTTTACCTATTCATAATTGTAATAGCATCTTGTGAATAAATATCTGAAATTGTGCAATAAAATTATAAATAATTTTTGTGCAATAAATAGGCAGCACATGAACTGCTAATAAATCGTCCAGGGAATTGAGTGTAGTGTACAAGTTAATTGTATCATTACTATACTGTATTGCATAGCTTGTATTAGTTCATCTATGCGAGATAGACATTTTTAAGCATTCAGTATCTCTATTTCTGGACTGGTCGAAGAAAGCGATCTTTGATCATCGAACTGGATCAAGATTTTAAATCCGCAAAAAAAACATTCCGCACTCTTGGAACTTCATTCGCGTGATGTTCTTTGAAAAACCACTTTAAGTTACATCTTTTAATTGCTTTCATTCCTACTCATATAACAAAAAAAAAAATTGATCCAAAATTAATATAAAATTAAGCATTTATTATAAGTGTTTAAAAGGCACACAAAAGTTAGATTTACTACCCCAGTGTAATAGGTAGGTTCGATATTTTTAAATTTTTATTTTTCCTGCGTCATTGTCCTCCTGCAAAATATAATTAATCGTATAAGGTCTCATTTACATTTTTTTTCTTAAAATGCTAAACATTGTTTAAATCAAGTAGGTAACATAATGATAAAGATTAATTCATTATTTTGAAGGATCAATTCAAATTTTAAAGATTTCTATGTTGCTAATAACGTCTCGTAAGTAAAAAGAACTAAAGATCGACCAAGTCTACATCCTCAGTAAAATTTGAAAATAGTCATTGGTACTAAATCTTCATAAGATCACTTGGTGAATGGAAAAACGAAATGTCTTAGACAAGATTAGTCGTTACATTTATTAAAAGCTTAATAGCAGCAAGTGAATCATTCTCTATTCTCTTGCGTTTAAAAACCTTTGATAAGAACTGCGCAAAGAATTTAGAAAAATAACTTTTAACCAACATTCCAATGTTTTGACAAATCTTTATCTTCTTTGGGTCCAACTGACTGATTGTTGCGAAACAACAGGAAGATATCGGTAATTGTATGGGGTGAGTTGTCATAGAAATAGGACTATAAATAGTGGAAACCAGGAACGAACTGACATCAGTTCTCTTGAAGACTTCATTTGGAAGGGAACAATATATTCAATATTTAAAGGTAAGTTCTATTCTTATTTAGAAGAAGGTGTGCTTACAATAAATAAATATATGTGGAAAATATTCGTAATATTTCGTAACTTTTCAGATGTTAAAAATTGTCACAGTGGTTTTGGCTTTAGCCACGACTGCTTATGCAGCTGAAATATCATCATCTTATGCTTCGTTAGAGAAAAATTCTATGTTTAAACCAGAATCAATAGAAACCCATGCCATGAAAGAAGTCACATCCGAAATGGCACATCCAATCTACAGGGCTGACGAAATAAAAAGTCAAGGTAGAGCGAGAGTCGAACCAGTTAGACCAGTAGGTCCGGTTATTAAGCACGCTGGTATGCTTTCGGATCAACCCGCCGCTTCAACTGAAATTAACAGAGTTGTAAGTATTAATATTTACAAGATACTAGCTTTACTAGCGTGTATGTCTGTTATCGCGGTAAACATTAGCCTATGTCCTTTCTCGAGAATCAACCTATCTCTATGTCAAATTTCCTCTGAATCGGTTCAGCGGTTATAAATGCCCCATACAAACTTCCACCCCCTTAAAAGATCATTTCTGGAGTAAAAACTATCTTATGCCCTTTTCCGGGACTCACACTATCTCTATACTAAATTTCATATAAATCGGTTCAGCGGTTTAAGTGTGAAGAGGTAACAGACAGGCAGGTAGAGAGACAGACAGACACACTTTCGCATTTATAATATTAGTATGGATTCAAAGTAGACGTTCAAAGGCGAGTTGACTTTAGGCAGGTGTCATTAACAAAATAGTCAATGTTACACATTTTCTTTATTTCTATAAAAGTGTCAACCTCTTGCATGACAAGAGTTATCTATGGTTCTTGTTTCTCATAATTATTATTTCACATATTTCTTGTGCCAATTTCAAAAAAATATCTCTAGTATAATGTTCCACATTGCACCGACTCCATAATTATAAAGTTGAAAAAAGTTTAGGAAGATGACGATGTAGATGATTTATAAAGTAAAGTAAGGCTATTGTACGGGTTCATCGTAAAGTGGACTGCTCATTAAGATTTTCTAAGATTCTGTTTACTTTCAGGACGAAGGCGGAATCCTAGGAAATGGTTATATACCAAACACAGGAGACGTAGCTTACCCTGATATCCCGTATGCTCCAGGCTACTTTTATGATGCTGCATACTCTTCACCAAATAAGTAAGTATAAGTTTATTGTGTATAGTGTAATTATAATATCCTTATCATATAAAGATTTTAATGTAAAAGGTAGAAATAGTTGTGTAGTTTAATAAATAATTTGAATTATGATGAAGATGAGAAAAAAATATTTGGGAAACATTAACAGTGTATAGGGATTAAGTACGCTTTTATATGGTTACTCGAACCTATTGCGCCGATCGTGGTAAGTTAGGTGGTAACTTAGACCCGATTTGTGTATTTATTTATATTTATTCGGGAAATTTTTCGTAAATTAAACATAGTCTAGATTATTTATAATCGTATTTTTATTATTTGTTGCAGTTACGACTCATATGGAATGAATCCATATCTAATGGAGCCTGATACTTCTGCTTTTGGTTTGCTGTGGAGTCAGGTACCTGATGGTAGGGTAAGTATTAGGTATCATTATCTCATATAGGAATATCTATACAAAACATTGTAGTTTTGTATAGATATTCTTATATTTTACACAGTAGTGTCTGTAGTGAGTAGGGCTGCCATTGTGGTTGCTAAGGCCATGTATTATATAGATATGAGACGTATTCCTCGACGTTTATGAGCATAGATTTGCAACTTCGTTTGACCTTATCGCAAAATGTCTACACTACCCAATTATCATTAATATATCTAATGGCTGGCTCAAAGAGGTAGGACTGTGTTATTACAAAAAATACTGTTTATTTCGCAAAATGCCTGTCAACTGCTTTAAACCACGTTACAATGATCTCTTAGATCCCATAAAAGAAAATTTTCAATATATATAAAATGAAAACATATATAAAATAAGATGATAAGGATGTTAACGATACTGATAAAAATCTTAAAGAATAATGAATTGGAACTTGTGCATTGCGGGTCCTATCCTAGTGTTACCTGGAGATTCTAATATGAGAATATTTTACGAAGGGTAAGGTACCCTGTCCTTACATTCTTAAATTAATTTGAATAAATAAAGTATATTATCTTATACATTTTGAAGTAAATGCTACTTTAAAATTATTCTATAGCGTCTTATTTTTTTTTCAGACTCTAGTTAACTACGTGGGCCGTACTATCCTGTGGGTCTTTAACAGTGTCTTTGTCCTGCTCCTCGGCTCGTTGCTTACCGTCGGTGTCTGCTCTTATACTAATCTCTGCACGATCGCTTTCCACGGAGTTGGGCCCATTCATGAAGAAATGAGAGCTCTTATGAGCCCAGAGAGACTGGACAAGATAAGCCACGCTGCTGATTTTGTAAAGACTGCTATCGACAAATACCAAAAAATTCAAAAAGTCGCAGATGAAATGCCCTCTATGAGAAAACGTCGCTCTTCTTTTAAATACTAAGTTATTTTAATTAAATTTTTAATATACTAATAAGCTTGTAAAAACATTTGGAAGTTCATGTATTATTGACAAGACCTCCCTGACCTGCTGATGTAATGGAATATGTTTTACCCACTTAACACACCACCAGTATACGACGTTTGGTAAACACAATTAGTTACTCTACTTTAGAATTTTTAATCTTGGAAATGTGTAAAGTTTTGATATCTGACATGGTTTGATAGGTTCATTAACTCTAAAAACACTAATTCACTTTTATTTTACTACTTTACATGTATCAGTTTAAATGGAAGATGCAACATAAAATACTTTATTCGCAATAATTACTAAGTTACGTAATAGATAAGGTGTCGAACATGCGATTTAGGGGTTGCGTCGACCACCAACCATCAAATAATAACGAACTTGAACTTACTCCCAATATAAGCATTTTAGCTTAGTTGGTTTGGTTAACAAGAATCATAGTAATCTGTGAACTATTCTTAAAAATTGAACCGTCTAATTATCGAAGAGGGGGCAAAACGAGCAGACGGATCAGACGGATGGAAAGTGACTACCGACGCCCATTAACGCCTGCAACTCAGGAGTCACAAGCGCGTCGCCGGCATAATTTGTTCCACAGATTGGTTGTGCGAGGTAAAAAGTGTCTTGAATGGTACACAGTGGTGGAGTGCCAATTTTATAAATTCACATCAATCACACATCAACAGCCTTTAATAGTCCACTGCTGGACATAGGCCTCTCCTTAGAAAGAAGGTTTTGGCCTACTATACCACGCTGGCCAGGCGGGTTGGTATAGGGTTTGTGTCAAGTTTTCCGTCTTTTTGCAGTGCTAGTGTCCTGCGTTGTTTTGCGCCCTTATTCGGTTCTTACGACACCCACGGGATGAATTGGGGTAGTGACATTCCGTATTCTTAATCCGTCACTACACGTTATGGGGATGAAAATTTCGAAGTGCGAAAATTAGTCCGAACACTTCCTATAGAATATGCAGAGTGAAGCTACATCTCTACGTTATAAGAGGGATTGAGACGATTGGAGATATTATGGCCATCGACGATTTGAGTAGCTCTTTGTTGGATGCCGTTTAGATGCGGAGAAGTTGGTACTGGGCCGCTCCTGCATAGAGATGATAACATGCGTTATGAGTGAGAGAAAGGGAAGTCAGACAGACTGGCACTGTAACGCGTTACGTAACGAAGTCGTTTATTCTCCCATAAAAAGTCATTACATCAAAAGAGAAAAAAAATAATACATACTGTTCTCAAACCGAGGTGATACGACCAATTGTATCATTGTTAAGTTTACAGGAGTTTCAGTCTGGTCATTATGGTCTTTTAGTTCGAGTATTTACAATAAAAGTTTTTGTTTGCCTTGTTAGAGCGTTTGATCGTTTATAAAATACACTTTTAGAACAAACAGCGTAGAATGACCAAGTTCGCTCGATTGTGTTTACCGAGTTTACATATCAGATTGTAGTTAAAACTGACCGTCGAACGAAGCCTACGACTTTAACTACATCTGCAATTTATGGCATTATGGGTTTTTATGCATAGCGGATTGATATTCATTAGAAAGAGAGTATTTTTCATCTTACTTTTCATCTTATCTTTATGGATGACAGCGATCAGTTTCAATTGATCAATCATCAAGTTTTTGTGACCTTGTCATTGACGTTCCACTAGCTATCACTTTATCTACTTTATTATTTTCGATGTTGAGTTTGTTTGCGGATGACCTTCAGATTTATTAACAGGCCAGAGTGCGAGACTGAATAATTTAACAGAAGCAATCCAAAATAGAAACAGTGAGGTGAAAATTGGTCTCAGTATTTCGGTGTAAGTGTAAATCTCTCTTAATACTAGGTAATAACAAAATAGGTAGCTCCAGAATGATAGGCAGAATATAGGAAATGACAAATATTTTATATGCTACGTTTTAAAAAGGATATATTTTACTATTGTGTCAAAAAACTCGAGTTCTAGATTAACACTATCCTCACCTACCAAAACCCAGATTTCAAACGTCAGAATGAGAGTCACCGCGACCTGGCGAAACTCCTCCCAATCAGCAAGAGGCACAGGCACTTGTACAGGCCTTGATCTTCCCACTCTTTTAACAATCGTACAACTCCCACTTATCTTCACAGTTCCAATTATTATGTACTATAGCAGAAATCTTTGCTCCACAAATAATCTTGCACATATGCCCGACACATACTTCTGTTGTTCTTTCTTTCATTACTGTATAGTCAAAATATACTAAATAGCAATGGAATGCGCTGTTACTTGAGATCAAGGTGTCCACAAACGTGACTGACACATTTAAAAATTTTGTATTTTATTTAATAATAGCAAATAAATTTATATTTATTAGCTAGGTAGGATTTGACTGGTAGACGCAAGACGTATGAAAATAAATTAATCTGTCGCATTTTTGTGTACTGTATTTAATAAACTAATTATGATGTGACTCATTTAATGTTAATGTGTAATTACATTTGCATTAAGTAATTGCACTTTGAAAGTTATAAAGCGCAATACGTGAAAGCTTTGCGTCAAAAGTGTAGTGGAAAGTGACAAAGCAGTATTGAGTGATTAATATCATTGATCAAGGTAATAAGTATATTTTTTGTAATTTGCATATTTAAGTATTAGAACGGGATTTTCTTTTACAAACATAAATTTTGTTTCAGATGCTTAATTCATATTTTATAATTTATTCAATGACAATGTTCCTGCTTATATCTGGTGTCAAAAGCTATATCTTGAACAATGAATTAGTATTAAGAGATTTTCAGAATGAAGACGTTGAACAATTGGAAATAGTACCTTTACAAGTAAGTAGTTTCGCTTTTGTAATTTTATTGTATGGAAATCTAAAGTACGGCAATAAGTGGCGAGACGATTAATTTTATAGAAGTATAAGATGTATTCGTAAAATATAAGTACAAAATCAAATAATGTGCGTTTTCAGAGTTCTCATAATATAGTCGGTACTAAAGAAGTTGTAAAGATGGTGACGAACCCAGTAACCGATGACGTTGTTGATATAAACAACGCTTCGTATATTGACACTGATTCCTCCAATGTTTTAGTTGTCGCCAATAGAACACCTGTAAGTTTGATTTTATTATTTTATTATCGGAATTTAGATTTTGACTTTCCCGCCTTATACGCTGCAAAATCTGATGTGTTTATATGAGATTATTTATTTATTTCCATTAAAATCAACTATCATGTAGCTAACTCATTTTTTATGATGTAAATTTATTTAAATACCCATTTAATAACGGTTAAAAAATTAATTATAAAAATAATTATATCTTTATAATCAGATTTTAAATCACCATTATACATATTTGTCTTATTAGATATTTATTACATTTCCCTAAAAATATCAAAGTGACTGTTCTTTGATTCAGGTTTCATCCATAAGAAGAAATTTCCTAACAAACTTAATGTTCAAAGGTATTAGAGCAATCTCATGGCGCCTTCTTAAATTTATCGTCTGTAATATATTTGCTACGCCTGTGGCTTGTACTGTCATGAATGTGTTAAGTGACGAAGAAGAAGGTGGTTTAACTACACCAGAAGGAGTCGCCAGAGGATTACGTTTCATAGAAAATGTTATAGAAATTTATCATTCTGCACAAAAACGTTCAACGTGATAAGTTGTTTTAAGTAAGTTTAGTAATAAAGTATTTATTGATTACGCTATGTATCTTTTTTAACTTCCTTAAAAATACAATAATTAAACATTTATTAACAAGATAAATAAATCGAATCCTAGTTCTGATTTACTAAAGGTTTATTATAATTTTTGTTGTCTTTAATTGCTCTAAACTGCCTGAACAATGAATCACATAATGCTAGAGTTAGCTGACGAGATTAAACCTTAACACACTGCATTCACGCTTCTGAGTCACGCGTTTGCCGGATTAATTTTTAAACTGCACAAGAACTGAAATTAGTCACATAGACCTGTTTTGAATTCGTTGTTTGGAATCATAGTGTGGATCGGTCTTTTTATCACGTCACCAACTTGCACATATTAGAATATTACAAATTACTCTTTTTGACTCAGTTGATTGGGATTGTAATGTTAGTAAGGGATTATTTTTAGGCCATATTTTTATTATTTAATCAATACGAAAGTAACCTTGTAAAGTTAGCTATATCATTGAAAGCTAAGGCGACCACTGTATTTTCTGTCAATGTTGTTGTCTCTTAAGAGAATCCTACATATACATACTACTATATAACAACAACGAAATATATAACAGTAACTATACCTGTATTCTATAACTATTATAGTTTTTTTTTGTTTTATTAAAAAGACAACTCCCGCACTAGGAATAAATACTGTGTCGCGGGGGACTTTACAAACACACATGAAACGGACACAAAAAGCACCCAGACTCAGAACAACAATTTGTGGATCACCCAAAGTGCTGACACCATCGCAGTGCAATTCTGGACACTGGCCTCTCCCATTGCATGCCACTTAGATCGATTTTGGGCTTCTCGCATCCGGCTCCTGCCAGCCATCTCGCGCAAATCGTCACTCTACTTTTTATTATTTTTTATTTTGGCCTTCTGGCCGTCCTACACTATTTTGCCGAGACGCGGTCTCCACTCCAGAACTCGGTTTCCCCAACGGTTGTCGGTTCTGCGGCTATTTCATACATACATTATAAATAATACCACATATTAGAAACGTAAGTAATGTCGTGTAAAAGCTGTGTCATTGTATATTTTATGGATTGTAGACTTTTAATTTTATCGTGATGTTATCAATAATGCTTTGTTGTAAATTACTAGATTTTAGATTCATATATAGAATTCGTTCAGCGTCTATTATTGCTGATTACTGCTTGTTTGTTCAACAAAATGTTATCAAATAATTTTAATGGTGATTTAAGAAAAAACCTTTTAGTTGAAAGGAGTTCAAGGCTTGAATAGTAACTAAGTATTAAGGTATGTCTAATGTGTGTGTTTACATAAAACAAATCAAACATCCTTAAATGTGTGAGTTTTGTGACTTATTAGCTATTGAAAACTACAGTTCATTCCGGCCTCCAAGGAATAAGCCAAGGAATTTTTGAACTAGATAGTATTATCTTTTATTAATCAGCATAAGGTACTCAAAAATGCCAGTGTTTTAAAATGTGGTAGTAAATGAGGTATAATTTAGAACGAAAATTAAGTTTGTCAGGTCTAAAAACGGTTAAAGTGCTTTAATAATCTATTCTCAAAATGGACTTTGTCGTATACATACCGGTTAGCACATTGCTATCCTTTAATAAAACCTACATCTTCATTCTTCTCTTCATTTCCTTTAAGTAATCGACATCTAATCCATGTGGTCCAAATTTACTTAGTGACTCATTTTACAAAAAAATCATTGCATATTCGTTCATATCGTGTTGTAGATAAAAATTACAACACTTTGAGGATTAGTCAGAATTAAAATCTTTTAAAATTGCGATTGGTTTTACATTTAATTATTGATAAGTGTTTTATGAAATTGTGTGTGAAAACATTACGAACTGTCATTATGAGTCAAAATGTAATTCATTAAGCGCATGCATTTAATAAATACATTTTTATACTTTAGTAAAAGTCCATTACTGTAATGAAAATGAGCACACATTACTACATTCTAATTATTGAATTATTAAAAAAAAAACGAATGCGTGAAGATGTATATACATCAAATTTACAATCTCTCGATTTTAGTTATATAGTTCTCGTATACCCAGTGTCACTCTCACAAATAAGACAAATCTAATGTATAGTTGTTATGGTCAGGGCTACCATAACCTAACGACACCTTCCAAAGCCATTAGGCCATGTAGACTACAGAGCGTGTCAAAGAAATATACATACATACACTCGAAAGACATAACCCTCCTTCTGATGCAGTCAGGTAAAAACTGAGACTGTATTAGCTGTGTGTCTTATTTTTAAAGAAGCTTCTAGGTGCATCGTTAGCTCTGTTTATTTTATGAAGTCATGGGCAAACGAACCGTGTCATTGAAATATGCAAGAGACGGATTACGGAGAGGCACATTATCTTGTCAAGTTAAACAGTCATCGTTTTAAATAATAGTTCATCAAGAAATATACTTATCATGTGACGTTTTACTTTTATCTAATAAGTGATATCGTTACATATGTCAAATCTTATGGCAATTATATTTTTTATTTATCATTACTTTATCATTTTGACAAATAATACTAATGCAAAAGAGTGTTAATGTGTTCGTCATATCAACCTTAAAGTTTTGAAATAAAAAGAAAAGGTCACAGAGCACATAGCACTTACATCTTCATGCAGAAAAAGAATTCACAAGGGTTTGATAACATTTATTTCGCGGCCAAAGCTGCAGAGGAAAGTTAGTTTTAAATATGTGCACCGGTCAATGTCTGGGATGGCATAAAACCCATATCAGTGACGAACCAAGGCAACATTCTGATTAAGTGAGACTTTTCGGTAGGTCCTTACTTTCCACAATGTATGAACAATGCTTGAAATGATTTACCATTGTTTTGTCTAATTAAAATATGATTGTCTTTAGAATTAAAAAGTAAAAACAGCTTTAGTTAAAACCAAATAGTTCTAGCAAAAGCTGTAAAAAAAATGTTATTGTATTCGATTTTGTTGTTCTTTAATTAATGTAATATATTTGAAACATCAGCCGTACTTGAAAGATTCTTTGTGTTTTGGAGTATTTACTGAGAGAGGTAAGCTATGAACGTTGCGACTAGCGACCTGATACAAGCGGAGCATTGTTTATCGGCCAACTCCCTTTTAGTTCAGAGTTTATTACTGGAGAGTTACTGATATTTACATATATTTATAAAATTATAACAATCATTTTTAAATCAATAAAAACAATACCCGTTTTGTTGTGAGTCGAAAATTCGTTATATTTTATTGACACTTCTTAATCGATTTTTAAATAGGCTTAAAAAACGAAGAGATTTATAATTAAAGTATAGAACGTTTTTTTTTCATTTATCATCACTTTTACATTATCAACAGAACAGACTCTGACTGCACGTATGGCGTAGTGGTTTAAGCGGTCGCCAAGCCACTTCCTACTGCGCTGAGTGTTGTTCCATCCCCACATGGGACACAACTTAGTGTGATCCACTAATTGTTTGTCTGCGTTTTCTTTGTGTCCGTTTCATGTATTTTTGTATCGTCAAGTAAAGTATCTATTAAAATCACCCAAATTGCTATAGTTGGTTTAGCCATTATAAAGAGCTTTCTCGATTTCTCTAGGATATCATTTTTCATTACAATGAGATCAACAAAAAGTATACTCTTTTGGACAAAAAAAATAATTTTCTAAACTGGTTCAACCGCCTTTGAGGAATCAAGTAACATACATAAAAAAAGATCAAGATATATTTAGAGCCTCCACCTTTTTTATGAAGTTAGTTATAAAGAAAGATGTCCGATGTAGTTCATTCACCACCTGTTCTTTTCTCTTGAGTTCTTCAAGGATATCCTCGAGGAACTCATGAGTATGTGCTATCATATGATAGGACATACTCTTTCAAACATCTCAGGTTGATATTAAATACCGACACAGCAGTGACTCAACCAGTTTATACGCTTAGCTCTAATCTTATCATGACACACAAGGAATTGAGTGAGATCATGATTCACAATGTTGAGACATTTGTTCTTAAAAATAGTAAATCGCTAACTACCATTTAACATCTTTTATAAGTACCTATAGTTCATTAGTGAAATCGTGGCCACGTTTAAAGAATTCCTATTGAACTTGTTCTAGAAATAACACAAATAGAATGTCAAACACGGTAAGGTTTGAATAGTCCCTTTATGTTATTTATTAAGATTAAGATGCCATTTTTATCAATTCCATTCTTATCATCCAAAAATCTAGTTAAAATTTTAAAACATGCATTGATTGCCTATCTAATACTATAAGAACCTGTAAAATGTATATGACCATCAAATACCGAAATGGTGCTGCAGCGACTTCTACATAATATAATGAAAACTATACTTCATTTTCACATAACAGAGATTTACCGAATTGTCGAGTAACTGCTAATCCTGCATCACGCAATAATACATTCGAATGTATTCGGACACACGAACAATTCTCTCTTTGTGTTGATCCGTTTAAAACAAGAGAGAATATAAATCTTTAAAAGAAAAGTTAAACCGACTTCAAAAAAATACTAACAATAAAGAGCGCTAAAAACTTAGCAGTAATCGCTGTTGATTTGCTGTCATTTTTTTGAAGAGGTCCTTTGTCTGTCTCCGAACCTCATCATCAGATTTCTATAAAATTTAAATGGGAATATTTCGGAATAAACCCCTTTCGAAGAAAAAATAATTTTGAAAATCGGTCTATATATGACAGAGTTATGCATACGTAAAAAAATATATAAATATCCGAACTGATAACCTCCTCCTTTTTGAAGTCGGTTAAAGAAGACAAAACACATTTTAGTTACACTACCAATTTAGTATAAGCATTTTGAAGAACGTGGTAATAGTTGTACCAAGTTACATTAAACAAACACGAAATTCCAAAGAGATCGAATTATTTATGTAAGCAGGGTATTTTTTTTCTACATGTTACGATTACATTACAACATTCTACATGTTGTCGTAAGTCTAGACGTTCTTGTACTTAATGCGTTCTATAGATAGTACACAAAGAAACAAAATAATGTTTTTGTTGAAGGTCCCATTAATATATTTGTAAATGAGACAGAAACAGTCGGTCAATGAAACATTCTCCTAAATACAGACGGTGTGTCATTGCCGCCTTATCTTGTATTTATATATCAGTACTCGTGTTTTGTCTGCAGAAGTCCTACCTTACGAACTGCATTTTCATTTGCACTTTATTTGGCAACAGACTTATCTGTGGCAGTGTCAGTTCTAATTATACAAATACTCTTATCAGTGGTTTTATCTTTACAAAAGCGTGGATCATAGCTTGGTATTGTCACTATCGTGTGTGTGTTCGTGCATCTTAGACACGAAATGGGTAACTCGAAGAGTAAAAAAGTGAAAATTAGTGATGAACAGGCGCAAAATGTCCAGAAAAATACAGAACAAAATAATGAAAGAATAAATTCGTTGAAAACTGAAATTCCTGATTCGTCAATGAACAAGCTTGGAGAATATGAAAGTGGAGAGAATAAGGATCGTGATAATGCAAGCAGTGCTTCCACAGTGGAAGTACTCGACGACAAGTGAACGCCAGTGAAGTTTAGCCTCTCTAGTCTTACCTATTGTCCAGTCAAGTCATGTTATTATTAAGTTAGTATATACACCTAAGTGTTCTAAAGTAAGTGCTCTAAAATAAATATTTTTTTAAAAGTGTTTTGTTTGTAATTAATACTTAAAGATAAGTGAAAAATATTCTTTAGAAGATCGATTTGTGACAGAAATGTGAATTTGTAAATAACGTGTATATGCGCGTCTCAAAATACGTTGTCATAAATTCTTTATTATTGTCGTTAAAATGAAACAGTTTTGTTTATACATTTTGAGGCATATGTCCAGCAGTGGACTGCAATAGTCTGATGATTTATAAATTGAACTTCAATTATTTTCTTTAAATGAGATAACAACAAGACTACTAGGCAACAACAAGGTAAATTTAACAGTTGGAGAATCATACTTCGACAAATGGGCACGAGCGGAATAATACTACGATTTCAAATAAAACTGGTGTTAAGCAATTCTTTTGTGTTCACCGAATGAGAGGTAACTGGAGCTAGAACACCCCCCCCCCTCCCCTCCTTTAGTTATGTCCACGGGCGGTCGTCACTTACCATCAGGTGACACGTCTGCTCGTTTGCACTTAACCATTTTAAAAACGGACAACGCAATGTTCCAGTGAAATGCGTTTCACGTAGTTTAGGTAGTGTAAAATGTTTGGCTGCTAATAAACATATTAGTCACTATTTAGTCACTATCACTATTTATAATATTTGCAAGCCCGGTTCTACAAAATATTGTTTAGTGTGATTAAACAGATAAGGGAACGCATTACAATTTACAGCTAGTATTGACAAAATAAATATTTTGAAAGGAATAAAGTTTTGACTCATTTGTGTTGTTGTTCAGACACGCGGCAACCTTGTGCCGCGTATTCCCCTTGCAATGACCTAGGTATTGTATTGAATATATTACTACAGATAAAATAAATTGTATTAACAGCTTGTTTATAATGGAAGCAGAACCAAAAACGGTACAGAGTTTTTTTCTTTTGAATTGCTACTTATTATAATACACTGAACTGATGAATGATTATTGTAATCTATGATAATAGCACACAACCTTTATCACCTATCTATTTCAAATGAATTCAGAAATGACTATTTCGTCAATAAACTACATTAAACAGAAGAGAGCTCAATTTCAGTTAAAATTATTTTATTGTGTAGATATATCATGGTAACGGTTAAACAGGCTATTTTTGAAGAGATGGGATTTAACCTTAATGGATGGGATTCCCACAAATATGTAAATATATCAGTAAAGTAATCTGCCTAAATAATATTAAATGGTATTTCATATAGATGCCCGGATTAATCCAAAAATATTGAAAATCAAGAAGTACCATCTATTTGGCCGTAAAAATAGGTAAATTCAGTAAAGTATTTGTTTGGTACATAAAACTTAAATAAAAATAATTTAAACCTAAATTTCATGTTATTTTTCGAGTAGGACAATGTTAGTAGGACTAGGCTATTATTTATTAGCTAGCATGTTGTGGAAGGAGGCAGTGATAGGCGAATGAGATAATAGACACACTAACATTTCTCGCCAAGCAGAGATCCTTGACTTAGATGATTAAATACGCAGTAGAAATGTTGACACCATAATACGAGGGCTGCTATTTATGTATCCGGAATAACAAAGTGAAACAAACATATAGCATTTATTATAGTTTCATTGCTTTTCAAAATATTCGCCGTGATGATCGATGCACTTTTGAATACGTGGGAATCAATTTTCGTAGCACTTTTTCCATTCTGATTGTGGTATCGATTACTGATCGATGTACTGTTTTTTGAGTTAGCCCGAAAATTTACACGAATTAAATCCATAGCGATAAAGATACACAATTTTCAAAATGATGCCACAAATGATAAACAAATGACAGCTACATGAAACAAATTTTATTCTTCACTAGCTGACCGGCGCAACTTCGTCTGCGTCTCTCAATAGTTATAAATTTTCTCCGTTTTTGAAACATTCTTCACTGGTGCTCCGCTCCTATTGGTCTTAGCGTGATGATATATAGCCTATAGCCTTCCTCGATAAATGGGCTATCTAACACTGAAAGAATTTTTCAAATCGGACCAGTAGTTCCTGAGATTATCGCGTTCAAACAAACAAACAAACAAACAAACAAACAAACTCTTCAGCTTTATAATATTAGTATAGATTTGCATACGATTGTATAATATGGACTATGAAATGATGATCATGTTTCATTCTTCCGTAAAAAGCTCACGTGGCTTCCAATCTTCTTTCGCCAGAATACTCATGTCCCTGCGCTTCTGTATTATATTTTGTTTAATCGATTAACTTCTCTTTACCTTAAAGAACGGTTTAAGTTCCTTCATGACACACAATTGAAACGCCTGAGTTCTTGTTTTTTTTTTACAAATCGTTTAACGTAGAAGCCACAGTAGAAGCTGTGCGTTTATGGAATTCATTGCCAGTTTCTATTAGACGTGTGTAATCCGTAACCACCTTCAAAACTATGTGTATGTGTGTGTGTGCATTATCTGTCACTGTACTCTTACTTATAGATAAAAATTAGTTTATTACTGTATGTATGTCTAGTATTTAATTTATATATGGATTAGGAATATTTATTCATGATAAGTGTATATTTCATAGGTTATTACCATAGTTATTTATTGCTTGAACTCGTATATTCCTAACTCGTATATTCCAATAATTCCAGTCCATCCAAAGGTTGCCTGCAAGAAATTGCTCTTAGCAATAAGGTTACCCTTTGTACATTATTTTAATACAAATAAAGTATTTTCTATCTACCTAAACGATATCGATGGTTTCATTCTCAGTATGATCTTATGTCTTTGAGTATAGCATTCACAGTCAATATTTTGACATGATATTTTGAGAGTTTATGCAGAAATATATTTATACATTGGACAATAGAAATATATTTACACGAGTTCAATGGACGAAATAATGGGCTATTATTTTCTCTGAACAAAAGGGCGATAATATTATCAATGCATTTACTTTTATCTTCTCATACAAGTTGACATCTGCAAAGGACAGCTGAAGTGCAAGACAGGTCGGTAGGCCACTGACTTTCGAGACGACACATGTTACTGCCACAATGACGTGGAACGGCCGCATGGTAAACAAATGAGCCACTGCGTGACATCAAACAACTAATAAAGTACTTAAGATAATCACAACACGAACACTTTCCACTACGGTTACACGTAGGCATAGCAAATCGCCCTAATCATAGTCCATATTTCTATTTGGGAATATATCAAGCCTCCAAGGCGTGGCAAATGTTTATAGGATCTATAAATCATGGTAGACTGGGAGTTAATTCGGGAGGTCGTCACAAAGCCATTACTGCTTAAAATAAAAGAAGTCAGCGTGGTTCGTGACTTCTAATAACTTTGTCGTACTTTCTGCTTTTTATCTTAAACGAGGTGAGCTTCAGGTCCCACAACAAAAATAGTTTGGCATTAAACACACGCAATACCTAAAATGCTAAATCGCTTGTCCTTTTTTCGAACAATTTGGTATAGTACAGAATACACAAATGTGAAATCAATCCTCCTTATTCCTTTAACTTTCAATGCTATCAGTGGTATGTCAATTACTATGCTATTGAATTCTAAGTAATTGGGTAATTTTAAATTAGATTAGATTTGGAGACCACAATGGCCTGGCAAATAAATCAACTTTTATTGCCTTGAAAACTTTAGGTCTAATCCAAATTGATATGAATACGCATTATGAACAATTATATAATGTGCAATGGCATTGAAAACTAGTCATTATGAGCTTTTAAACTTTCGCGTTCCATGATAATTAATATTATTTAACGGGAATTAACGCGATCTCTTATTTAGGGTATTACATACCTCTGGTTTGCCTGACGTTTCGACCAGGTTGCACCGGCCGTGGTCACAGGCTGACTGGCTCATCGGCGCACGCCCTCCGGAGATCGGATGGGTCCTTGTCACACTGTGTGTACCGTAAACCTACTCATACGGACAGATACCTACACGCCACGTCTCATCATCACCCCCGGCACTTGCAATCTGTTATGACTTCACTCAAAAACAGAGCTTACGATCTCTGTGACCCTGAACATTTAGAACAGGAGCTGAAACATGTTCAGGAGGTACTCAAAGGTAACGGATATCAAGTGAAAGGAGGACGGAAGCAACCGAAAATAAGACGCAAGTATCCAGAAGTGAACAGGCAACCGGCCTATATGCCTTATGTCAAGGGAGTTACGGACAAGATCGGGTCTGTACTAAAGAAATATTCCATTCCGACAGTATACACACCAGGCATAAAGGTTCACAACATCGTCGGCACACCGAAGGATACATTGCCACTACAAACTCCGGGTGTTTATAAAATAGACTGCAGCTGCGGAAGCTCATACATAGGCCAAACTAAGCGGACTATTGCAGAAAGGGTCAAAGAGCATATCGCTGCTGTGAAGAACCGACAGACGAGCAAATCAGCGATTGCAGAACATGCACTCGATGCAGGCATCAACCACTGGATTGAATTTCACCGAACGCAAGTCCTCTCCACCGAACGTCACTTTTACTCAAGAGTTGTACGTGAAGCGATTGAGATTAAAAAGCATAAAACTGTCAATCGGGAAGATGGTTTTAAATTATCTACAGCGTGGAATCCAGTGTTAAAAAACATACCACCTCGCTTTTCTGCGCAATCGGTTAAACACCAGAATAGGGACTCATCGGTTTGCTTACAGAATAGGGACACTGTTAGTGTGGTATGTGACGGTACATGGCGACACAAAAATAATATCGAAAATGTGCGGGTAGATGAAGAGCCTTCTACTTCACGGATTCGACGACGGAGGGCGTGCGCCGATGAGCCAGTCAGCCTGTGACCACGGCCGGTGCAACCTGGTCGAAACGTCAGGCAAACCAGAGGTATGTAATACCCTAAATAAGAGATCGCGTTAATTCCCGTTAAATAATATTAATAGTCATTATGAGGTGTTTTTTTTCTTCGTGTGACACCTTAAGGCTCCCCAGAGTAGTGTCTGAGGCCGGCCGAGAGCAGACAGGAGAGCCGAAGGGATTTTCAACACCGTCACAAAAAAATTGTTTAGTCACAAATAAAATATTTTTAGAAAGTGTTCGTAATTTGTTTGTTTTTTTTAGGCATTGATATGCTTATTTATCCTAACACTAAATAGATATTGTTAAAATGAAAAGCTGTTTGAGTTTGCACATTCTTTTTTTCTATATACGTGTCTTAAGTCAATTTCTCAAAATTCATGTGAGCATTTAATGACTATTTATTGCTGCTGAAGAAACAAACACAGGACGAAAAATCATGAAATTATCTAATGATATTAGTAATCAGTCTAATCACGTGAACAATTTTAAATACTTAATAGCGTAATGTCTCTTATTTTATGAAGGTTAATTTGCAAATTACGCCATTGATAAAATTACACACCCATTCCTTTTTAAATTGTAGTTATTCTAGAGCCACTACAATTGATAGGTACAGACTTTTTATTCGTAATAGCATTTTATTTTAAATTTTCTAAATTGCATCATCAAGTAGTCCTAGAAAGTTATCACAGAAGGTGCACATGATAATTTCTTTATTCGAAAGTTAAGTTAATTTGCTCGATTTTTTTATCAAATTAATTTATTTGAATGACCGAAGGATTGGTATTTGTTTCGTATTTGTATAGGAGTCATTTTCCGCATTCTAGCTTGTTGACAAGGTAAGACATTCTCAGCATAGAGGGTTGTCTGTCTCATGCATGGCGAATAGCTGATCATTCAAGGCTAATTGTCCCATAATGGTACCTACAATTACTCGAATGTCTAGTCTGTGGACACTGAGTCTAACAGTCTCCATGAGGTGAGACTCCTGCCAACACCAGTCATGATAACTAACAACCAGCAGATAGCTCATCTGCCGCCTTTCCTGTATGAATAGCTATATCATCCGCTGGAGCAGTAGGCTAGGTTCTACAATGTTTCATGGTATTTAAAATAAGATCGAGTAATTTTAGCTTCTGCAATGCATTGGAATACAGAACTGTGTTTGCTGAACGCTACCGAATGGGTAAAGAAGAAGTTAAAGGTTTTTTGAATATTGAGGCTCAGAAAAGTTACCTCATGAAACATTTATAACGACTATTGATCGAGTAACTACAAACTCAGTTGTTGTCGAGTCTCCAAACCTCAACTATAAATAAACTATGGCTTAAGTAGCCCTTAGCGCTGACAAATTATAGCGTAAGCCACTACTTATTTTGCGATTTGATTGTCACAGTGACGCAGCAGTACCGCCTAACGTTGCTATGGTGCCCATAGTCATAACAGGTATATACAATTATAACGACAAGTTAGAAAATCAGTATTTATTTGAACGTTAACGGATGTCGACTTTAGTCAAAAGCTTGGTTCAAATCAAAACACACTTATCAACTGAAAAGGTATCAGAATAAATCTTTTTCTAAATTGTAAGTGTCGAAAACATTCATATTGTTTCATTATTTATTGTGAAAGTGTTACAAGAATATTATTCAAACTGGGCCAATGCATGGACAAAACTATCGTCGAGAAAATTCAAATAACGAAGTGAGTTGAGTAAAAGAAAATGTCATTTTACTTGCATACATTTTAATTTGTTGCCGCTTCAGAAGTACTCTAGTATTATTGAATGCAGTTTGCATAAAGATTTGCATTTTAGGTCTGGATTTAATTTTATCTTTTTTACATATCCGATTTCAGATTATTAATTTGCTAAATTATTGGCAATGAAGACCGTATCAACTCTTTTAGTTATATGCCTTACAATAACAGTCATAGGGTAAGTTTGGTCTGAAACTTTTGTCTGGAACTTATCTTGGTGGTGGAAGTCGTTTGGTTTTAATAAGTGTGGTGTTATCGGACTTCGGTTGTCTAACTCAGACGCTTGTAGCATTCACAAGTGAGGGATAATTCGAAGTATTTTTTGGCACATTACTAATGATTTTTTAGTTAAGTTCTAAGAGATTTATCTTTTTTATAACCTGTCATTGACTTAAAAGGAGCCCTCTAAACAAGCGCAAATAGTTTGGAGGTACAATCTCAAAAACACTTTTGAGAATTTACCTTTTAATTCATGTTTTTTATTATCTTAAGTTAATATTTTTCTGTTCATATAGAACATTAAAGTTCTATCGGTTCGTTTTATTTATAAAAAAGTTCGAAGTGCGGGAGGCCGTACCTTGCACGCTAGTGCTTACTTCAGTACAGCAATAAAACTGATACTCGTAGCATGCAATGATGACATCAAGCGACAAGCCGTTCCTAGGAATACTACGTCTCTAAGTGTTAAACTGAGTTCTACATACATATTCCTACTGTTATAAGCGCTAAGCTAAGCTATGTATTTTCTGGTACCTTCCTTTTTTGGTGACTTTCTTTATAAGGTAATCGAGTCGAGGTGCGACTACGTATACCCGAGTCTCTAGTAATAGTGTGACGGAACACTGTGTGGTTTTAGTCGGTTAAAGACGTACCACTTCAGGGTGAGCTTCCTGAAGAACTGATAACCCTAGGGGTTTCCACGCCATAAAAAAAGGGTTAGCTGGTGTAACTACTCCCCAAGCTAGAGTAAATTATTCCTCTAGAAAAAGAGTAAATACTACTGTTGAAATGATGCAGCAGTCGTATAAAATACGAATTTCAAATTGATCCAATGGAATGATTGTAGCTTGAGTAATTAAATTAATTAATTGAAAAAAAAAATATTTTTTTAAGTCTAATCTAAACCCTTTCTCTCGTTTTATAATATCAAATGATTAATTAACAGTTAATTATAAAGCTACTCCATTATTATTTTTCTATTTGTTTTCTTTTCAATAATTTGTTTATTTTTTCTATTTTGAATGAATATAAAATAAAGACTGAACCGTCCGTGAAATGTGCTTGTGGTGACGGATTAAGAATACGGAGTGTCACTTTCCCTATTCATACCGTGAGTGTCGTAAGATCCGACTAATGGAGCAAACTACGCAGGACAAAAGCACTGCAAAGAGAAAGAAAACTTGAAACAAACCCTATAATAACCCGGTGTGTGACTGGCCAGCGTGGTATAGTAGGTCAAAACCTCTGTTCTAAGGAGAGGCCTATGTCCAGCAGTAGATCATTAAAGGCTGTTGATGATGATGATGAATCACTGAACAGTAGACGAGGTCTGTTATATTTAGCTTTAGAAGTGGTTAGCAGACAATTTAAAGAATGCAAACAAATCTTGGAAATATCAGATGACTTAAATATTAATAAATATTTATAATATTTAGTGTAATTTAAAACAAAAAGCGTTCTCCTTGATAAAGGCCAGCAACGCATTTGTAACTCCTGAGTTGGAGACGTTCATGGGCGGCGATAGTCACTTTCGATCAGGTGTCCCGTCTGCTCGTCTGCCCCCTTTAACATAAGAAAACTCTATTAGATGATATTTTTATCTTTACCAAAGACAGAAAGAAAAGGTAACGAACTTGGCAACCCCGTTGTTGTAAATATCAGCAGACTAGTTATGCTTAGCCGATTTTTATTACAGTAAAAAACAGTTAACCGTTACTTGGAGTTTTATAGATGCTCCCATAGTGGAAATAAAGAAAAAGAAAAAAAAATGAAAAAGGAATAAAATATTTCAGAGATATTTTCTCCAGAAGTTATTTACCGTTACAACTTTAGGGACTCTTATCCTATTAAACTTGATAATATATAGATTAATAATATTTAAAAGTCCATCTGGGCGTTTTATCAGAACAATTTGAAACTTTTTTTTAAAATAAAAAAAAGATTCATTCTAATGCACAGATTTGCTATCGAGCATTGACAATTAAGTAACCTTAACAATCATCAGATTATACACAAACAGTACTCCTCCCTATGACTTTAGTTTTGTTCCTTACTTCTCATCAATGCAACCAGAATGTTCTGCAGCGAAGTGTGGCAGAGTACAGATAGTTATTTTATATCATTTGTGCTGTGAAAATATCGTGTTTCGTGAGACACGAATAACATAATTATGATTGATCGATATTATCACTCACTGTTTGTATAAATAGTGATGTGATTACATTATTATATTAGTACCCCACTGAATAAAATGAAAATTGCACCTGTGTACTTCACTAATCACGGTGTTTACAATTAATCTAACTAGAACGAATTGATAACAACTATACTTGGGTAAATGATATTATAAGCAAAATTGAGTGGCCATGAATCAGATATCTGGCTTGCACAAAAGAATTTCCATGCTTTTTAGGACTAGGAACCCTTATAGTTTTGTCTGTCCGTCTGTCCGTGACTCAAATTAGAAAGCGATAGCACTAGAAAACTAATTTTGCATGGGCATATACATTAATCACGCTAACAATGTACTCGTAATGTAATGATTTTTGTTATTTTTCGCCTCGCAAAACCCGCATCTAATAGCTAATCTGTTTTTTGAAATATCTGAAAAAAAAACATGATGGCAATATGTATGACGATCTTAATTCATAAAATAACAATAGGTATTTAGTTGTTTATGTTAATGAAATAGAAAAACATAGATTATCAGTAAAAGCTACAGTTAAAAGGCAAAACAAAACAATACAATAAAAAGAATACGAAACGAAAAAAAGATACGAGTGTGTAGGAGCTTTTGCATGGACAGTTGCGTGTATGTTCGTATGGGCATGTATGTGGAGGCTATGCGTGTGTGCATGTGTGCGTGTGTACTTGGCATATGGGCATGTGCATGTAGGCGTGTACATGTGTATATACACAATCAGTCTTATAACATTGGTTCTTTGGTAAGTAATTATTCGGAAAACGATAACTATACTACGAACGGAGACATCGGGCAATCACATACACATTGTCGTATTTTAGCTTTTCACTATATTTATTGTTGTAAAAGGATTTTAACAATCAAGGTCGTGAAACGTTTCTATATCATGGACTAGATTTTCCTTTACACTAAATTTGTACGAGACAAAATAAATATCATAAATATTCGTATTTTAGATTTATTTTTATAAAACTGTTTTTACCTTAAGACTGTTCAGATCTAAATTGAAATTTCTTTACAAAATTTAGCAACGCTGCCGCCCTCTCTAAGAACAGCAAGATGCCCACCCAGCCAATCAAGTTGTACTATTTACCACCTTCACCTCCTTGTCGTGCTGTTGTGATGACTGCGAAAGTACTGAGCTTAGACCTGGAACTCATTCCTACCAACATTTTGGAAGGAGCCCATTTGACACCCGAGTATACCAAGGTAAATAATTATCGGTATTCTAATTTGTTTACAATAACAAGTTGTGACCGTTTATGTATATTTTTAACGTGGAACCTTAATTGGTTTAACAAAATAGGAGTAGCCTCAGTTACTCATTTTGTACAAGTATCCATTTGCCAGTAAAATTCCCGGGTAAACCCATCTAACCTAATCGATGATCAGTCGAAACACTCAGACAGTCAGACTCATGGACAGAATATAAAAAAATAGCTCTTTCATATAAATATTGTAAAAGATATTATATACTTCGAGAAAAAAAGCTGATATTTCAACATCACAGACATCCGTTTTATTAATTTGTATAGATACAGGTGTCATTACATTTAATGTTAATATGATTCAGCATATTTGTAAGACAGGGCCTGAACCTAATAAACAATAGCAATTGTGTACAGTTTTTAAACAAAAGACGTGGGACAGCAACTTATACGGATAAAAATGGAATTTAGGATATTTCGGCTGTTTTGTAATCTTCTCTACCCGAGCCTAAGAAAATAAAACCGTTGAAATTCTTAGATAATCTTTTGAACTTTTGTAACTTCTCATTCATTCAATAATTTGTATCTTTGAAACCACTGAGAACTCTGTCTCCTGTCTCATCGTATCCCTGTTATAACACTTTTGAGCTTAAGATTGTCATAAAAATAATCTCTAATTCAATAAGAAGGTATACAAAAATATGACAAACAGTTGCGTGACCAGCAAATTCCAACCCAAATAAGTATTGTTGAAAAATGCGTAACTTATCCTTATTAGTTCTTCTAATTCCTTTTCTAACCTATATAAAACGTTATGCAGGACAAGATAAGCAAATCAACCAATAAATTAATCAGTTATTAAAAATTTCGTGTCTGTAAGTTTCACTTTCAAACCTCCTTTCCAAGGAGAGGCCTATGTCCAGCAGTGGACTAGTATAGGCTGTTGATGATGATTGATGAAGTTTCACTTATACTGTTTTTTTTTCTAGATGAATCCTCAACATACTATACCAACTATGGACGACAGTGGGTTCATTTTATGGGAAAGGTAGGCTATTCTATTATTACTATGTTGTTAATATTATTATTACTATGTATACAAGAGCACTGCACGATTTTTAAGCTTATGAAATTGAAAAATCTACCACTTAAGTCACTAGGTGAAACATTATTTATATGTTAGTATGCCAAAGAATTAACGTTTGATTATCTGTCTATAAATATTTAATGATCTAACGTATTTGCACATAATGAAAACCACATGTCGTTAGATTAGAAGATTCAATCCTCAAATTAACAAAACAGTTTTAGATTTTTAATAGAAATCCACATTCTAGTTTAAAGGAAATTCAATGACACCTTGATATATGTACATAAAATTATTTGCAAATATGTGAAGGGACATCCGACAGATAACGCCAAAACTAAGCAGAGCTTGTGCTATGAAAGCTAGATTGAGTGATAGAATACTTTTTTTTTCTGAAAAGGAAAGTAAGATAACAGAAAAGGCAAAGGTAGGAAATGTATTTTGCTTACATTTTTGAATTATAAGAAATTGCTCGAACAGATTAGAGTCACATACTTGTAATTCAGATTGGCTTTTACTGCAAGGTCAGGCCCTATAACCAAATACTTTAGTTTTGTAAAAGTGTTTGTACGTTCACATCTGTTTAGTGCAAGGAGCATATTAACCGAGATTATGGTATTGGTTTAACTTCTTTATTTGTAACTTTAAAAAACCTTTTCGATATTTTTTATTAAAGCCATCCCTAGTAAGACTCATTCGGATGGGAGAGGCTTTCTCCATCGAATGTAAGCGAGATTTAAAATTCGCGTTCAGTGATTACCACGGTATTTTTTTTCTTTTAACGATATAAGTATATTTAAATTTGGAAGTGCTGATAAGATTAAGTTCTTTTTGGGACCGTCCCTTTTTCCCTTGGCCTCCCTTAATAACTTCCGAAAGGATCGGTTTGAAGCCGCTTACTTAATTTACACGATTGTAATTTAAGACTCCGAACTCAACCTTATTTTTAGTTTTCGTTCATTCTCGATTAAAGAAAACAAAATATAGAATTAAAACCCTAACAAAACTCGAAATACTACTCTTGCTCTCTTTTTAAATTGTTTTTTTTTATGAATAACTAACGCAAAACTATCTATATGTGTCCTAGTTGTATTAATCGTATGAGCTACGCTTTAATTTATACCATGTTTACATATAGATACGCAAAATAATGCAATAGGTATAATGAAAATACATATCACATTCATACAATTTAATAAAAGGCCCAGGTGATGTTTACAACACAGAAAAAGTTTAAAAGTCATTTTTATGACTGTTTTAATGAACTGATTGTCATTTTTAAGATCACAAAACACGCAATGATCAATGAGACTTACAAGTACCTGATTTTTTATTTGCAAACTTGCATATCAGTAATATAATACTCCTCGATATATGAAGTACGTTTTTTGCTTGCAGTCGCGCAATCATGGCTTACCTGGTGAATGCTTATGGTCGTGACGACTCTTTGTATCCAAAGAATCCTCGTCAGCGTGCCATAGTCGATCAGCGATTAAATTTCGATATCGGTACCCTGTTTGCGAGATACGCCGGTTTATATGTAAGTAGAAAATATGCAGAAACCTAAAATATATTCCTGAAATACTCATAGACTAAAAGCGACCTAACACAAAATACCTGAAATTTCAATTTCGCTATAAGCTAACCTTAAACATCCTTAGAACTTATTGTTTAGAACTCTTCCTGAACAACTCAAGAGTAGTTACAGTTCTGCAAGCCTGATCATTCAAAGTTAAAAATAACTTAAGTTCTCATAAAGAATAAACATTCACGTTCATGAGAAATTAATATTTAAGTACACACATAAATACATTTAATTTTTTGGGCAATGGCTCCTACTAATTATATTTTGAGTTGGGTCACTTTCTTTTTCAGGCTGCAATATACGAGTATAACCTCCTTTCTAAGGAGAGGCCTATGTCCAGCAGTGGACTAGTAAAGGTTGTTGATGATGATGATGATGATATACGAGTATTGGTCGTGGGTTCCGATTTGTGGACTTTATTTTAAATTATATATGTTTATATAAATAAATATAGATTAGCATCACACCCAAAATAACTTAAAAATTGTTTCACTAATGAAAAGCTACATTATCAGCGAGTAACATAACTTACTTTTTACCGCGATAACCAACATATATACACGGTCTGAGCAGTGGGCAAAAGCTAGTAACTAGCTACTAGCTAGTAGTAGTAGTAGTAGATTGTAAAAAATAAATAAATCAACGTAATATATCATCACTGTTTGAACCATTGTTGATATTATGATGTTGAGATGATGTTGTTAGGTAATAATATTCGCATTGTTAAAATCTCAATCTATGGAAAAATCGATAAAATATTTATAAACAACCAACTATAGCTTACCTAGTTTATTATAATATTTTATTAGACAGCCTACCTTGACTAGATCGCTTATAAATTGCAAATCTAACATGTCAGATGTGTCAAGGTATTCTTGTTTTACATCTACACACATAATACGCGAACAAAATTCTTTGTGTCCTGGATTATACAAATATGGCGATCGAAAGCATATCAAACTTGGAATACTTGTAGTTTATATTTTATATTTAGAAGGGCAAAAAGAGAAACATTTTAAGTAATATGTGCTGTAAAATTAAAAGTTATGTATTTATAGACGGCTATAAAAAGCTAAAGGGATTTAGGATCAATTTGATCTGAGAAATACTGGTTCTGAAATATAAATCCCAATGCTAATGCAATATAATTTTCAGATCCCAATGCTATTCCGAGGTGAAGAATATAGTGAAGAAAATGCTAAGAAACTGAATGAAGCATTAGGCTGGTTGGACACATTCTTGGATGGTCGCGCATTCGTAGCCGGAGAAAACCTTACCATTGCTGATATTACCATAATTGTTACTATTACAAATATTGACGTAAGTTCATTATTTTAACCGTTAGAAAGCGGTGCTTCTCGATCGGAGTAATACCACAGTCACACTAGCCCCGGATCTAGGAGGGGGCAAACCGGGGTGCCCGCCCCGGGTGGCAGTTTCAGGAGGCGCCAAAATCATAATATAATACGGTTATAAATAAAAATAAAATGTTACCTCCTAATCACGTAACATGCCAACCATTATAATATATATGTGAGTTTTTTTTTAGGTTATTTACCTCAAACGCTATAATTAAATTTCTGCCCCTTTTCGAAAATAGGGATATATTGATTTGAACGAACTGAAATTGCCAAATAAGCTCGTCGTCTACCAGATAATAAGCTTAGAGGAATATATATATAATATCACAAGACTTGTGGTGTCATGGCGTTGGTAAACCTATTTCGAGGTACACCTTGGAGTGCGACTAGATAAAAACCGCTGTCTTTGACTGCGATATTTTATAGTGGTTGTTTTGTTAAAGAAAAGGTTCCTTATTTCTTAGCAAGTTAAATAAAACATGGGTAATCGTTATTCATCTCGAAATAAACATAAATACATCATAATGTAATAGAAATGCTGTATAATCATTTTATGCTTCAACGATTATGATTGTTCAAAGTGGTATTTTTTTATATTAATATTATCGTTGACGTATGACGGTTTACAAACTTAATTATTTATTTTTTAATTCATTTATTATCTGAAACTAAGAGAAACTAAACTAAGAGAAAATAACTTATTTTATAAAGAGATTTCGCACATTGAGGAATGTGAAATATTGACTGAAAGTATTCTAATAGGAGTCAGTAATAATTCAATCCATTACCCTCGTTTGACGTAATCTAAGTTATCTTGATTTAGATTACACATATTTTGTGAGTCTTCTATCGTTAAAATACTCAGGTATGAATAAGATTATAGCACTTTGAAATGATATCGTATTGATTTGAAAAGATTCCTTGAAGGCAATTGTTGTTTTGTATAGGCAATCGTATATAATCGCAATAAAATGTAGGACTGAATGATTTATTAGTTCAGTGGTTGTGCAACTTTATATGTCGCCCTGCCTGATATCGGCTACGGTGACTGCTCAAATCTAATCATCGCTTCCTCGCACTGATCAGAGTTTGTCGTGTTATCATGACTTAATTGAACAGCGGCTTATTTTACAAAAAAATTTATTGCTAAATTTAGCGGCTTTTTCTCTTTGTTCTCCAAATGTTGACAAACATAAATGGAAATAGACAGAGTTCTTCTACATCAGGATCTTACACTGTAAACGGAAAAAAGAGAACTTATATTTCGCTACGTACGAAGGCAGAACAGATATTACACTCATAGGATAGGCCAAAATTCTAATTCGACCGTACGAATTTAATATTTATTTAGCATAAAGTTAACTAAATTTTTTCTTTGCAGGCGTTCGGTTTCGACTTCAGCCAACACGAAAACCTGAAGAAGTGGTACGAGAGGACCAAGAAAGCTTTGGAACCTTACGGCTACCATGAAATAGACATGGCAGGGGCACAAATGTTAGCTTCTTACTTGAAGAAAGGTTGAAAGTTATTTAATATATTAGTTTCAAAACAAGACAGGTTAATTGTTTAGTAAATATGTTGAATAAATATAGAATTAACATTTACGTGGTACTTTATTTTTCTGGTATTATTTCCTTTTTGGCAACTTAATTTTAACAATTATGGACATTATTCTAAATTTTAGTTACAACACTACGCCGATACTTCTGACATTATTCCAGTGCGAGTTGATATTATAATGGATTACCCTAAAACTATGGTAAACTTATTTGTTGTGTGGTGATATCGGAAGCATAGCCTATTTTTATTTTATTCGTAATTCCTTATAAGGACTATAATACGTTACGACTCAAGGAAGACTTTTACAATTATGATTGCTTCATCTTCTATATGAAATGGTTCCTCTTTAATAACAGATGACATCATCATCATCATCAACAGCATTTACTAGACCTCTGCTGGACATAGGTCTCTAATTAGAAAGGAGGGTTTGGTCTACTATACCACGCGGGCCAGTCGGGTTGGTATAGGGATTGTTTCAAGTTTTCCTGTTGCTGTTGTCCTGCACAGTTTATTCCCTTAGTCGGCTCTTAAGACACCCACGGGATGAATAGCGGTCGTGACATTCCGTATTCTTAATCCATCACCATACGGATATCACTACACGGAAAGACTCGGTAAGTAAGAAGGTGAAATAAAAAAAAATAAAACGTATCATATGCTCTTAAATAGCTCACGAATAGTGACACCGCGTACATCTTCTATTTAAAAATCGCAAGTGCGTTGTCGTTACCACCACCGGCAAAAGCTGATAGCAAATATTATAAAAGATACTACTGCTAATCTTACTACTGCAAAACAAATCCTGAAGACACTGAAGTCGTCAAGTTGCAGGTCATACAAAGATTTGCTCCGACCCGGGAATCGAACCCGAGACCTGGGCCCAGCAGTCGCATACGCTACCACTGCACCACCGAGGCAGTGTCTTGTCAGTGATGAAAAGAAAATATTAACTAGTATTTTCTTTAAAGTACCAGTATTTTTATTGTGTTAACAAGCAAAATACCTAAAAAAACATATTGAGTGTAAATATTTGCAACACAATTTAGTAAGGCGCTAGTAGTATATTGTGGAGGAACAGAATAATATACATTTATGTGATGTTGAAATTATAGTTATATACTTTGTTCGGCAACGTTTTAAGTCAAAGATAAGATTACATAGATATTAATAAAAATAATCAGTTATTAGATCATAATTTAATCCCACCCTTCGAGCACCAAAAACCTTTATTCATGAACCTTTATGTATGAGACATTAGTTGGAAGTCAGTCGATGAGATTGTTTATTTTAGATGACGATTAACCCTTGTGACCGAAGTGAGAATCTAGAAAGACATGCAAAAGCTCGAGGTTCGGTCGACTTGTGACGAAAACTAAATGACGATTGTATCCTAATATGAGAGTGTCATCTTTCGGAAGATGTCGGTCGCTAGCGGCCAGTTCTCGGAGGCAAACGTAATGTTTACATTTAATCCCAAGCTTTGCAAAATTGTTTATTATTACACCATCGCATCATATTTTGCCATAAATTATGCTGGCCGGAAGGATAAAGCCTTTTATAACTGAGTTTGCTAAAGTTTATCATTCAATTACCTTAGAATTGTTGACATTACTGACGAGCATCATGTACCAATAAACGATAGATTGTTAACTGTGGTGCATGAACTACTCTCAATATAGAAAAACTACGATATCCAGCGGTGGGCCTACAATTGGTTAATGATAATAAAGTGGGTCATGTAAGAACGGGCAGACTTATTTTTAAATTTAACATTGCTGTGTATGAACATTCTGAAAGTCTACACTGGCATTTGTATTTTGAGCTTAGATTTATTTTATAAGAAAGTCTTATATTCCCTACTTTATGCATCTAATATGTAATAGTTAATCAATAAGTTAACGGTATGATAACAAACTACTCATAATAAGGTGTTACCGATTGTGGACCACGTCCGGTCGCACGAGAACGCACCGTCTACCTATTGAATTGAGGTAGGCATTTCTATGTGCCATAACAATGCGCCAGCGCTGACAAGCGGGTCGCGCGCTGCGCTTATACCGGTCTACGTTTTCAAAACAAAACAGGCGTTCGATTGTTCTAATTTGAAAAATCCACCACAAAACGATCAAACACATCGCAGAATTCACAAACAAGCAGTTACTAGTGAAACGGAGTGCGTGTAAGTGTTGTCGCTTACAAGCGCTGGTTCGCGAAACACGACATTCTACAAAATAGTTTTAAACTGAAAATGTGGTGGGTGCAGTGCTACGGTTGATATGTGTTGTACAAATTGATACAGCTGTGGATTGTTCTGTTAACAGGATGATATTCATAGTGGGTATTTTAAATATTTTATTTGGCTAGGTAAAACTTCTCGGTGGCTTACTTATTTCAAGTGTTTTCTTTCAATTTGTTAGTGTTTTATTTGAGTTGTGATAACGATTATATGTAGGTATTTTGTGTCGATTGTTATTTCCGGAACGGTAAATTTTAAATAGGATGCGTTTCTTAATAAAAATAAATAACTACCTATATCGTTAGCATTAAAACATCTAGGTCCTTATTAAGTTATTCATGACATGTTTGACGACGTGGTTATGACTAAATATATTTTAATATTAATCGAGGTCGATTGAACTTGTGAAGTTTTATTTATTGACACAGATCAATAACATACGTATTAACAACATGAGATATATTTTTTGTTAGATATCATACTAGGAATAGGCGATCAGAGTCCTTATCTGCGGTTCATTTTTACTGTGATCATTCAATTGGCATCATTTTACTTGTTATTCAATACATATTGTTCTGTAGGACTTAAACATTGCATATAGATTACATAAAGCTCATCTACAATTCTGTTGTGTAGACCTTGACTCTGTAACCAGATCTACAACGTGCCTGACATGCATACTGATACCAGACGATGATTAAAGTTTATATCCGCCAATATGTTATACTGTCCTTTATAATTTCTGCCTTCTTGCGTCGTGTGAGCATCAATGTAATATTTGTAAGGGGCCCTCGAGCCATTGACCCACTGAACAGTTAAGTTAGGAACAACTAATTAACTCCTTAACTTCTAAATTATTCTATTTAAAAGTAAAGGAGGAGTTTAAGGGTTATTTAAAAATATGACAAAAGTTTTTCGTCAAGATTTTTTAAGTTCACATCGTCATCATCATCCCACATAAACAGCTTTTAATAGTAATCACGCTGGCCAGACGGGTTGGTATAGGGTTTGAGGTTCAAGTTTTCCTTCTCTTTACAGTGCTGTTGTCCTGCGTAGTTTGATCCCTTAGAAGCCTCTTACGACACCCACTAAATGAACGGGGTGGTGACATTCCGTGTTCTTAATCCACCACACGGACTGCAAGTTCAACAAAAGTTATATTTATGATCACGGTTAATGCGTTTAAAACCTGATTTATAGTAATATATAAGTAATAGCTTTTGTCCGCAGCTCCGCCCGTGTGTGGGTATATCGGATAGCGCGTAAATAGTATGTCTTTCTTCAAGAATCAAACTATCTCCATACCAAATTTCATCTAAATCGGTTTAGCGGTTATTGATTCCCCATACAAACTTCCACCCTTTTTTCACCCTCATAATCGGCCTATCGCAGGGCACAGCTGGACATAGGCCTCTTCCATTGCACGCCACTTAGATCGATTTTGGGCTTCTCGCATCCAGCTCCTGCCAGTCATCTTGCGCTAAAGATGAATTTCTGCGATAAAAACTATCCTCTGTCCTTTACCGGCACTCAAACTATCTCTATAATTGATTTCATCTTATTCTGTTCAGCGGTTTAAGCGTGAAGAGGTAACAGACAAATAGACACACAGACACACTTTCGCATTTATATTATAATATTAGATGGATATCTAATATGATATCATGAATGATGTCAAGATCATCTAGTTGACATCATCTAATTCATGTATCGACACGATTCATCTTGCCCTTTTTAATAACCAAAGTTACAACTTTAGTTTATAACAAAATGACACCTACCAACTACAACGTAGAGGAAGTGCTAATAAAAATACTTACTTAAAGCTAGTTGTCATGCATTGCAATCTCAACTCAGCTACACGCAAGGTGATCCTAGACACAGGATACGGTCGTTACTCAACTACACGACAAGTTGAGCTTCTGCGTTCGATCCATTATAAAACTATTCTTACAAGATCCTTGATACGAACATGTACGATGACAAGGACCTTAATTTTGACATCTAATTGAATTTCTAAATTTAAATAAACCTTGTTGCACAACGGTCTCCAGCTCCACAATGTACTATGTATATACAAGACACGTGATAAACCCATCTTTATTGTTACAGAGATTAATATGTGTTCTAATAATCACTTCAATATCAGTAGCCGTCCAATTCCCACCGAATCCCACGTCGGATATGTCGGGAGATGAAAAAATTCAAAAGATAAATAAAACAGGTGACTTTTCGGAGGAAAGTGGTCATGAGATTGACGCTGATGTAGATGATGCTAAAGAAAAGAAGTTTCTAGATGATGCTATGCGGACTGTTTTAGATCCTACTACACAGATAATTAAGCCTAATGACGTTGTAGAAACATTTAAGGTTCAGCTAGAAGAACTAGACAAAGTTAATACAACTTTGGAGCTGTTCATGGAAGAAATGGACAAATTAAGTTTAGACGTCTGTAAAACATCACAAGAGGCATTATGGTCGTATGTTACAGATATAAACAACGATTCTAAAAAGAACAAAATGGTAAGAAAAAGAAAACAAAGTCTTGAAAATGTAAATTCTGTAATCTTAACGCAGAAGTTTTATAAGCAACAACTACTAACAGTCACGTTTTCGCGCAAACTGTATACACAGTAGAATTTATACAAATTTTCAGGTACGCATTGCTGCCGAAGAAGATGAGATCAAAAAACAATATTGGAATATATTAAAAAGTAAATATTTAAATAATGAACAGATAAAGAATGACACAAAAATACAAAGAAAAATAAGGATTATAAAAGAACGAGGAACTAATGTGCAGATGCCTCAAAGCAAGGTAATATTAATTAATGTACAGTCTGTTTACGCTATTGCTTAGAACTTGTGATGTACAAATTCGATAAGAACATAAATATAACGTGAGGTTAATTATCAAAATACTATGCTTTACTCTAAAACATTATAAATTTTTTAATTACTTTGATGTACTTCATTTTTCTTTAATATTGTAGCAAAGAGAAGAAATAGATACAATGCAGAGAATTTGGAGTCGAGTTACGGTGTGTGCGTACAATTCAACATGTAGTTCGGAAGATTCGGTACGGACGATGAGTGGTCAGTCAGTATTATGATTTTGCTTATGTTGTATTTAAATAGCACTATGACACTATTCTAGAAAAATAAACATTTATTTTTCTAAAGTGGCATCAGTTAGTCAGCGGTCTGTAACTTTTACCGACATCGCCAACATCTGTACCGATTTCAGTTACTGTTACTGAGCTAGTTACTATCTAAATTACCTTAAGGTTTATAATAACTTGAAGTTATATTACTTGACCATCTACCTATAAGTAAACAAAAAATTGGACATATCATAATATCATTTCATAGAAAAATTAACCCAGGATTGGGATATATTAAGCTATTGAGGGATTTGTTCGTAGGTTACTATCATAATCTAGTATAAATTACTCTGGATAGATAAATCCCTGAAAAGTGTTGTAATAAGCAGAATACATACAACTAAGAACTTTCACTCGTCTCATGTGTTTCGTCTCGTCTCGTCTCATCTATGTTGACCCACCTGAGTTTACTGAAGTAAAAACTTCACATCGTTTAATTGTTATTGTTATGTTAAACTTATTGTTTTCCAATTTTATGTCTTAATTAACTGTCAGTTTATTAGAGACTGAATGAAGAACGTGCCATTTTTATTACACGATTTATCATCACACTATAATTAAGGGCAAACCAAAGCAACAATAGAATTTATTACGTTTCAGACATTATATCAATTTTTAAAACGAGCAACGATACAAAAGAATTAGCATATTATTGGAAGGTTTACCGAGATACGACCGGCAAGAAAATACGCCCAATATTCAAGGATTATGTAGTGAGGATGAATAGGGTTGCGGAATCGGAAAACTTTACTGATGCTGGAGATATGTGGAGGTACGCATTCGAAGACGACCATTTTGTAGAAACCGTTGACAGAATTTGGAAAGAAATTAAACCATTCTACAATTTATTACACGACTATGTCAGAGCTAAATTAAAGTTGGTGTATAAAGATGTACTGATGGACGATGATAATCTCATTCCAGCCCACATTTTAGGTAAGTATCAAGTACAATATACATGCAAAACACTTTTGAAACTTTTATGGCAATGTGACAATTGATCAAACTTCACTCTATTAATATGATCAGGTACTTCAAGAAAAATAGTTTATTATTAAATTTCTTTGGATTTAAAATAACATCTTTTAAAGAGATATTGAGATTGTATTGTTATGTCTCTTTCCTTAAAATATGCGCTTCTATCTTTATCTCAGGCAACTTATGGGCACAAGAATGGCAAGCTATATATCCAAAAGTAGTGACGTATACAAATCATATGAGACCTAAATTGACAACAAATGAGACCATTCATTCAAAAGACCTGTTCGACGCAGTGGATGAGTTTCATCAATCCCTTGGCTTTGAAAGCGCAAAAGATTCGTATCAAGACATAAAGGAGACTATGACTACAGCAAATTGTTTGCCATCCAGTCATGATATGTGTGATGGTCTAAACTATAAGTATGTATCATTCTTAAATTTTAAAGATATTAAAAATAATTTACAAGCATCATCTAGGTTAATTTAGTGCTTAGTTATTGTGCGTTAATTGTCCAAGTGAAGGGGATACTACCGTCGAGTTTGCGACCTTGTCTAAGAGATGAGCTACAATGCATACCTCTTTTCGCTTTAATTAACTCGTAGCATAAATATTTTTAAATTCTGAGTTGACCAACGAGTTACTAGGAGGTGCCAATAAACGGTAGCAAGATATCACGAGGTCTATACTCATGGGAACAATAGAGCCTTGGATGCATATTACTAGAATTTCTTAAAAAGTAGAAAGCTATTTTAATATTCTAACCGTTTGCAGACAACACAGCTATTGCCGCAGGACGATTTAATTTCCTTTCAGTTATGATCATCGTGAGGTACCACATGGCAGACAACACCTGAAAAAACTTTCTTAACTCCTTTTTTAAATTTCACCGCCTTAATGTAATGATTTTTTTAGTTAAAGAATAATTGCAGCATTTTATTCAATGAGAATTTTTGAGTATTACACTCATTATAATTTTATTATGTGTGTTAAAATGAAGATTTATCTAAGGGTATTTTAATTATCTAACTTCTCTTTTACAGGATAAAATGGTGTGGTGAAAAGGTTACCGACGTGGTTGTAGGGTTATCACGAGCTGCGAGACTTTTAGGACACGTGCAATATTTTAAGCACTACAGGAAACTGCCGCCGTTGTATCGTGATGGTCCTAATCCAGGTAATCACAATAATATTATAAAGGAGAAAGTTTGTGAGTATGTGTGTTTGTATGGTTGCTACTTCTCACGCTCAGACTGCTGGGCCAATTTTGATAAAATTTGATATGGAGGTAGCTGACACCATGGATTAACACATAGACCACTTTTAATTGAGAAAAAGTTTAGTGTGGGATTAGTAAGGAACTGAAATATAGCAGAGGGTAACACCGCGGGGCGCAGCTAGTATAAAATAAAATATAATAAAACACAATCACTAACTAAGACTAAGAATATACTACAAATAATGTAATCTTGTTTTTCTTCTCAAATGTTTTCATTCGCTTTGCTGTTCTTGTTGCTGCAATTTGTTGTTAATGAGTGAAGACCTGTAATTGGCTTGATGTTGCCTATGTTTTTGTCATACACTATTGTTACCGCTGCTGGTCTAAAATAAAATAAACAAAATAAATTTGAAACTAATTAAGCAAAAATAATCGTTGGTGATAACTTTATCAGAAGTAGTTTTTGAATAATAATAAATGAAATAGAATTGAGCACCTTTTTTTGAAGTCGGTAATAATTTGAATTATCTGTATTGAGATTAGTAAACCTGATCAATCTACGCCATATGGCTTTGCATCTGTATCCATTATATTTAAACGCGTGTAATTGTTATGGATTTTTTAATTCTACAGATTGTTTACGTTGACGTAATATTTGTATCTGTTTTGCATACAAAAGAATTATACATAATTAAAAAATTACTGTAATGTATTGCAGCGTTTCACGATGCAATCTCCGACATCGTTGCAGTCCAGCTGACTTCACCTGAACACTTGGAGACCTTGAATCTTGTGAAGGTCGACACCGGTCCAGAGGTCACGATTAACCATCTCCTCTGGGTCGCTCTTGAGAAGTTTCCTTTGATGGCGTACGCTTATGTGCTGGACAAGTGGCGGTGGGATGTCTTCGGTAACAGCAGTCTGGAAAATTGGAATCAACATTGGTGGGATCTTAGGTGAGTTGGTATATTTGTATATAATAATATGGTTATTGATAAGCAAAGTTAATTGAAGCAATCTATACTTATAAGTTATTTTTAATAACTATATCTATATCCATGTGGTGACGGGCAAAGAATACGGAGTGTCACCACCCCTTTTCATCAGTGGGTGTCGTAAGAGCCGACAAAGAGAGTAAATATGCAGGACAACAACACTGCAAAAAGAAGGAAAACTTGAAACAAACAATACGAACCCATCTGGACAGCGTGGTATAGTAAGCCAAAACCTCCTTTCCAAGGAGAGACCCATGTCCAGCACTGGACTACTAAAGGCTGTTGGTGATGATGCCTTAAAGTGGGAACGCTCAATAAATATACTTGTTTTTTTATATCTCACCAAATGTTTATATCAGCATGCGGTAAACCAAATAAGTGGTTAATTAACGACAAAATGACAGCCACCCGGGGTGATTCAATTGATTGTTCTGTGTTATACCTTTTATGTCTCAATCATTTAGAAAAAATAATAAATATCTGGGGATTTGAAAAAAACTGATGGCGATATTTTAATTATATCTTAGTCCCTTATCATCAAGTTCTGTGTCTACTCGTTTGCTCACCATACTGTAGAGAAATAACACAAATAAGAATGAACTCTTTGTAACGACATGAACAAATTTGAGATGTCCCACAATCCAGTTTTAAAAAGTTTTTGTAAGTTCTAATTCGGTACCCAAATGTTATGTTGTCCGTATATGTGTTTTGTTTACACGAATTGATATTATGTGTGCCAAATGGCCCGGAAACGGGCCAGGTACCGCAGACGGCTCAGGCGGCGGAGGTGGCAAAACGACCTCCGTAGTCCATAAGCGCAGGCCTATGGGGACAGGTGAGGGGGTTCCCACACAGGAGAGGATCATCTACACGCCGTAGATGGCGCGAAGTACGTTGGGGTACCAGGGATTTCCTTTCTAGGGTACACCTGGTTCCCCGGCTACTAGTACCCGAGACGGCGTGCGGTTTTTAGTTGGTTCGAGTCCAACATAGCCACCCCACCGGTGTGTGGTATCCGAGGGGATTACCGCACAGGAAAGAAAAGGAGTTTGTACGGCGTCCCTCAGAAGCCGGAGATCTGAATTGATTTTTCGCTCGTCACCAGAACAAAAATGTTTATTTTATTAAATGACAGGTTTTATTACAATATTCAATCATTACATCTAATTTAGTAACATTGATGTTTATCATTATTATTTATCATTAGGCTGACTTATTTTAACCATATCTACTTATGTGTTGAGCAATAATCATGACGCAACATGAATCTATATGATTTCACACTATTTTGTCATTATATATACATTAACAAAAACAAATACGTGAAGTCCCGTGTAAAGGCTGAAAATATTTTTTCGTGTAAGATAATACAATCCAAACACAAATTCAGGAAAAGTCAACGGTGCACGTAAACAGTTTTTTGAAAAATAATAAAATGATTAGCTTGATTTGAAATAACTTTATATTGCTGAGCTTAACATTGTAGGTAATTAACTTTAGTTTGTTTAGTTTAGTATTTAGGTACATACTCGTAGTAAAAAAAAGTTATAAGTTATAAATAACATTGTACGTTAAGTTTTAGTTAACTATAACTTACTTATAATAATTGTCGTCCTAAAATGAAACTTTGTATGCGTTTTACTTTGTATGGCATTTTGGAGATGATCTGATGATGGAGGAGAATGTTCGCTTTGACGAGTATTTTTCTTTTTTTTTTGCAATTGAAATGTCCTATTTTAGTTTTACTACTAGACAAGTCGATGTTCCAAAAGAGCTTTAGTCAGGGGATGTTGTATAGTTCTGCAACCATAAATTAAAACTTACAAGTATCTGAAATACCGAAATTATAGCTGAGATGCCTGTTTGATGTTGTCGGTTTAATAGAATTTGGTTTTTACATTTTAAAGTACAATGTATTAGAACGAAAGAATCCTCTAATAACTTTAAAAATCGATGTCATGTCATTCATTACATAACGCTATTTCTGATAAATACACGTTAATTTTCTGATTCAATACTAGTTAATAAAAAACATTGTGTAATTTGCCAATTTTCACTTAATCTGTACTGCAAAAGGTACATAATCAATAAATAATAATGATTTTACAATTCCGTAACATATTGCCCAGACATGTTTAATTTGGCTAGGTGTTAAAGATTAGCATTGGCTGTTCGTAATGTTTGACATAGTATTGTATAAATACTAAGAATGTCAAATACTTCAATGTAATAGAATAGCACGGGTACTGGAATACACATATTGACAGGTTTTTAATTTTATAAAATATAGTTTAAAAATAAGAAGGTCCTTTTTTTATAAACGGTTTTTTTGTACCTGCATTTTCTCATTGCTAAGTCTTGTATTAGCATCGCTCTTTCAGACTATTGTATTTTTATTCTCATTTTGGCAGACATTTAATGGTTATTATATTCAAGTTTTTAAATCATTTACGTATCTCTTATTATACTTGTATATGTTTATAAATAAAAAGCATGTTAAGTATATTGGAGCTTTAATATTTCATATTATTATTACATTCGTGCTGTGGTTATGTGGCAACTTCCTCAAACAACAACAGAAACATGGTTCAGTGCCATCTAACGAAGACACACCGAACTACGTAGTAACTGCTAATCCTAAATGAAAAGGTCTACCGATTAGTATTCAGGGTGTAAGGGACGTCGTAACGAATACTGAACTAGTGTATTCAGACCATAATTCTAAGTCGAAAATTATTGAAATTTTCTGACGGAAAATTAACCTTTTTTATAATTGTCAATTTTTTTGTTAAAAATGATGTAAAATGATATCACAATGAGTAAACAGAACATTTTTGAGAAAATAATATAATAAATACCGCATACGGTCAAAACCCCCAATGTAATTAATCAAACAGATGAAGTGCGCGGGGCCTCAACTCCGGCCGCCAACTTATATTAGTTTACGTAGACTGTTTGCACGAAATACACATGTAGTTGTAACTTTTGTGCGATACCTACGAGGAATGACCTTAAGCTTTGATAGCTGATTGCATAAAAAGTTTAATTTCCCTTACACCCTGTATATATATATATATATATACAATTTCGCCAACCATTCGTCCATACGTCAACCATTGGCGGCGCGCCAGACATGATCATCTCGCCTGGCCGGAGGATCCTCCCTTTGTGGTAGAGGGACATATGAGGAAGACCCGTTCCTCCACAGGCCGTTCACTACACATTATACAAAAGAAATATACCTTTATATGGAGATTAATAAAACCAGTTATAGACAGTAATGTTATATAATTTATCGCCAATTTTAATGGATTGATTTCATTTAGTCAGACCTGGAAATGCATTTGTTACTAAGATTTGTTCAATACCCAATTATGTAAGCATTTTTTTTATTTCATAAGCAATTTTAAAATTTAAGTCTTTTGCACGTTAAGTTTAATTGTACATACATAATATATGTTTTCAAAAGACTTTAACAAGCAAATAAACACGGTTATCTGTCTATTGCAGGATAAAAGAGACTGGAGTGTCGCCACCAGTACCGAGGAATGAAACTGACTTGGATCCAGCAGCAAAATACCACGTAGTGTCACATGTACAGTATATTACGTAAGTGTATGCGTGTAAACATCAATATAATAGTATAACATAATAGCATTTTGGTACCTGCGTTCTTCTCTTTTTGTGCCTATCATACACACAGCTAGCTATGACTTGATCACAAAGTGAACCAGTTTATTCATTAATAAGTTACCAAATTTCGTCTCATTGCGCCTGGATTTCACGATTTTGAAATATTCAAAAACATAATAAAAAGTAAATCTTCTGTTAGTCTTGTTAGAATTTTACTAGTTTAGATTCGAGTTAAAGGTATGCTATCCTAATTCGCTCGAGCAATAACTCTGAAGAATGTAGCATCTCCAATCCACCCCTTCCCTACCAGGATCTTCCTTTCCCTTTCAATGTACTTACAATATTCCCACACAATCTGTTAAATTATGTACTGTAATAAACAGAATGTGATTATCAAAACACCCAGTTTAGCCTGGTTAACGCCCCTGGCGCTAACATTTTTTTTAATGAAACGTCTCTATTATTCCCACTTTTCATAATAAATCGTATACCAATTTGTTATATTTTAGGAATGTTTATTATAAACTGCTTCTTTTCCAGATATCTGATATCACATGTTTTGGAGTTTCAAATTTTATTGTCGCTGTGTAAAAAAGCGAACCACACGGGACCGCTCCATGAATGCTCTATTTACGGCGTTCAGGAAGCAGGAAAACTTCTGAGGTAACATTGACTGTCTAATTATAATGCATGGTAAATAAATATTAGTGGTTCTTTGTGTTCTCAAGGATAATTTGTGGAAATCCGTGTGAACTGTGTGAGGTTATACATAGAAAACATGGTCATCGTTGTACTACGCAAACAGTTAGATCTGAGAGAAATAGAAACCTTGTTACTACGTTTCATAACATTTTCTTAAGCATATATTATTTTGTTATAGAAGAATTAATAGATGTGCTTCAACGCTTTTCAATTTAGTACTTTGAAAACTTTATTATTATTTAAATTTTCACAAATAATTACTTCGTTTAAAGATAAAAAAATAAGCCTTTCATACGCATTTTCATATTCAAATTCAAACTGGTGCCTACAGTTTTTGAAAATTAAATAGTGTATAGAAATCTATCCCTAGTATATATTTTAAGACTTTAAAGAGAATATTGAGTCAAAATTTATTCATTTAAATGACATTTAGTTCATAGTTTCATCTCCAAAAATAATGTAAGATTGTAATGTAAAATTACGAGTAGGTACTTTGTTTAATTTTAACTATTGTGGCATTCCAATAGTTTTGTTTTGAATTAATGCAGTAAGAGATTTTTTTCTTAACACTCCTCAATGTGTTTGAGGAGTATTAAGAAAAAAAACTCTTATTAAAAATCTTTTTCTTTCTTCTATAAGACCTAAAGAAGTGCTTTTAATTTGTATTGAAAAGGATAGGTTCTAACCCAAGCCACACTCTTAATTCACATAACGTAATGGATATTGTCTTACAAAGTGATTACAGATGAAAATTATTTAAAACTTTCAGCGAAGGCATGTCCCTTGGTGCTAGTGAAGATTGGAGGACCGTTCTTTTTACAATAACCGGTGAAAGAGAACTATCAACTAAAGGCATTCTGCAGTATTTTTCTGAACTTCAAAAATTCTTAATAGAGGAGAATGCCAAATTGGCTCTCATTAGCGAAGCAGACATGGATCAAAGCGCGCCAATCATTGTCGGAGCCATTGTAGTATTATTGACAATAATTATTATTGTATTATACTGTGTTAAGAAACACGATGTTGGAAGTAAAGTGCTGTCTGCTTGCGGTTTGAGTAAAAATGGCTCTCTGGACATCGTGACAAATGAACTACCACAGAGTAAGACCCATGAAGCAGATGGTATAAGCGAAGATAAAGTTTAGTTCCGTAACCTCAGTGTGATTAGTATTACATTGACTACTTTATAAATGAAAGTATTGAGGTAAAATAGAATTAGTAATTGTTAGTGATTTTCAACGACTTTTGATTGATTACATAATAAGGTAATTTTAACTATGTGAGAGGTTTGGTTATGAATAATTAATGTTTGTTAATAATATATATATATAATTAAAATTGGTTAAATTTAGTTATTGAAGTCTTTTTTATTTTGAGAAAACATTATTTTCATTAGGTGAGCCAATCCAAGATCCAAGCCAGATTACCTAGTTATAATTTTATGGCAACATTAAGAATCGATCAACGAAGAAAGAAGACCAGATATATATATATTCTTCCTTTTTAACCTAACCATATTTATTAAACTTTAAAATGACAAAAAAAAATTGCACGACTAACAGTAAATTAATATTTTTAAAAAAATATTAATTAAAATAAAACGTTTTCATAGATTGAAACAACATTTATAAACATGTCTGATAAAAAATAAATAAAACGTAAATCAAATTAATATTATAAATGCAAAAGCTTGTGATGATGGATGTATAAATAATGATAATGATGAAAATTGATAACAGTTTATTTCTCAATCCCGCCAGAACGGCTGAATGGATCTGGGTGACATTCAGGGTAACAAAATCGAAATCGGCAAGTAAAAGCTAGAAAATAATAGATCAATAAATCCGTGTTAAATGAAGGAATGATAGTTCATGTGCTATAAACGCCACGTTCGCTAAATGTGAAGTTACGTCAATTGATTTTTGACAGTCGATTTTATATTTTGGTTTTTACAACTATTATTTTATATCACCGACAAAAAAGAGAGATTATCTACAAAATTTATTGAAAGTACTATAGAAATCAATTTTCCTAAAGCTTATATGAGTGTGGTTTTCAGTCGGTTCCAATTCGTGAACGCCACATCACCCCACCGCAAACCGACGGTGACTAGGGATGTGCTCGCGAAAATAGTACATTATAATAATCAAAATATAATAATAATATTAACTTAAGACACCTCAGTCCCTGTTCCTGATTCCAAACTAAGTAGAGCCTGCATTATAACAACCAGACCCAAAAGAATCGTGCTCGTCACACAATTGTATGTTCTGGGTCAAAAGTAAAAGGTAATTTTGTTAATAAATATTATGAGTTTGGTTATTTTTGAAAACTAGCTTTGATGCTATAGGACACTTGTAGGGCAGTTCACCAATTTAGTAGACCAATTATTATTTTGTTAAAAATAATGTATGTTTGACGATTGATATTTAACCAATTTTGACGACTCTTGATATTTAATGACATACTTTCAATTTATTTTAGTTAATACATGTCTAATATAAAAGGTTTTTTGGAATAGTGAAGATAATACGTAATTATTTTATCACCTTTCTTACTACTATCATTACAGTTCACCTAATGTGAAAGAGTGGCTAACTTATATTGTTTATGTTATTACATTTATGCGTTACAAATGCACAACGAAATGAAAAATAAAAATAAATTTAAAAAAAATCTAAAAAAAAATAACTTAATTTTTCAAAAGTCATCACTGAGCATTTAGATGCATTTGAATACAGTTTATTCTCATGGCTCCAATCTACTACTCGTTTTATATCATCCTGTATCCGTTCACGGTCTGACTCATCTCTGACTTCTACTAACAACTTAAGGTCATCTGCACATAGTAAATATGACCCATGTCTTGCGACCTCCGGTAAGTTGTTTACCATTATAATAAAGTGGAGAGGCCCCAAGTTACTACCTTGGCTCACGCCAGACCTAGTGTTATATATTTCAAATTCGTACCCATTGTAGTCCACATATTGCTGTCGGTCTTCCATTTAGCTAACAAAAACTGTAACATGTCTGACGTACACCCAACCTTTGCAAGCTTCCTTAATTATACGTCTTTATCAATGGTGTCAAATGCCTTTTCGTGATCAAAATATACAACATCCACCTGTAAACCTGCATCCACTGCCGTGCTGGGCACACCACCTTCACCATAAAATTAAGTAGGTTTGTGAGTTAATGTGAGGTGTATTACCATTTCACAGTGTATATTTGCTTATAAGAACTTTACGTATTTCGTTTTGGAGTCCTTTTTAATAAATCTTGACTAAGTTGGACTAACGGTTTTGACATAGTCTCTCGCACACGCACGTACCGCACAGATACATAAGAAACATTTTGACGTCGAAAACTAAGTGATGGTACTAACTTGCCTAGGATGTAAAATACTTTAATTTAAAATTGTCTTAAAATCAGCTGTTTGTCATTTGACACATTATAAGGAGCAGGATAATCATAGTTTGATATATTGAGGTATGTCACGCAAGGCCAAAACGCTCTAGTTAGAAACACATTTTTTATGGAGGTTCTATGAACAATTGAAGTTCTTAGTCTCAAGGGTGATGGCCTTAAGACTAAGGACTTTAATAAAGCCTAACAACAAAGTAAATAATATTAACGTTATTAAGATTTACCTTACTAAGGTTAAGTAGAGTAGTAGCCTAGATGTTCTAAATAAAGTTCCCTTCAAATCATGCCACCGATAGGTGGTATCCGAGGGGATTTCCGCACGGAAAAAAAAAAGGGGCTAGGAGGTATGCGGATGACGTAGTAACAGCTGTTCCCGGATCCCTAGGAAATACAAAACAGTGTGAGGGGTCTATGAACCCCCGGTCGGAACGAAGTTCCTTTATGTGCGACGTGTGCTATACAGTCTGCTTTAAACTTAAAGTGTTGGAAAAAAGTATTTTCGACCCTCGAAGGAGCCAAAAGGACGATGAGGCCCGCAATTGTGCTGTCCGTGCACTTGCACCGCTGGTACGCGGATAAATACGACACTATCTATTAATATATCATTTTTTAATCATCGTTTTTAGTTTGAAAAGTTAAAAACCTTTTTTGGAAATAAATTTTATAATTTTATGGTCTCGGAGATTTGTTGTTTATTTTATTTACGGACTCTAGATTACAAAACTTTACAGTAATTAGTGGTCCCGTATCTTCAGTTAAAAAGACACAGGTGCAACATATGCAGCCAAGGACAACAACGTGCTTGCGGTCCTTGTGGTGTGCATGTATATATGGTATAATCGTCGGTGATTGGTGGTTCTGGTCTGGTCGGCATGGGCACAAAGCCTATTCTTGTACCGGCCCTACTCACTACTTTAAGTGAAGCTGCTGTTTTAGCCGAAGGAAAATCAACCGAGCACCCAGCAGTAGCAAGTGACCATGAATAGCGGTTGCGGTTTCTTAATTACTGCCTAACTTGGTGGGTTTAATGCTTCCTGTGCCGTCAATGACCGCACGATACGTAAAGGGCAGGCTTTACCATGGTACCTAGAGGCCAAGAGCCTTGTGTCATTGTACCGACCGCAATGGAATCACTAGAGTGGTAATTAAGAAACGCGAACAGACGCAGAAAAAAATCCTCTCCCACCCTTTTATTGAATCTGGGATGCTATCTCATCAACTCAAAATTTAAATTTAAATACTCGTCGAGGAATGGAAAAAGAGCCTCTAGTCTAACCTGGAAAAGCTAATATTACAGATTGCAGTTCTATTCTCATCACAATTTATCGAATTACAGGAACGGTTATTATTTCAGACCCTCATTATCATCACATCAACAGCCTTTAACGGTCCACTGCTGGACATAAGCAGATGCTTATAAAGGAGGAGAGCCTTGGAAAGGAGGTTTTGGCCTACTATACCACGCTGGCCAGACGGGTTGGTATAGGGTTTGTGGGGTGCTGGGCTAGAAAACCTCCTCGTGGTGCACCCTGGAAACGCTGGCGATGGTACTGTTCCCTCCTTGTCCTCTTGGAGGAGAGGATTATCGCCAGCGGCCAATATTCTAGCAGAAGAGGCAGCCGTTCATCGGCTCTCGGCAAGGCCTGGTCCAGCAGGGTGGGCGTGTCTGCCGGTTGCCCTGCTGGCTCTTCGCTCTTCGGAGCATGGAGGAGGAAACCTCGGTAAAAAACCTGATGGCGGGGCCCTGTAGGGGCCACAGTTTTCTCCGCTGATAGCGGTGGAGAAAGGAGGACGGGCTCGGCGTGTACTCACACTACCACCGAGCAGGCAGGGGGACGTAGTCTCCCTGTCAACCGTCGGCATATCGTAATCCCGAGAAGAGCGCTGTGGTTAAGTCTCGCGGCTCTGATCGGGGGCGAGGGTCTTGGCTTAACCGCCCGGACCGCGAGGAAGATAACCTCTCTAAAAAATTCCCCGAATCCCGTGTTCTGGTGCGTGGCCAGGGGATGCATGGCTGATGGGAAGTTCAGTCGCGAGCGCACTCCAAGCCGAGGTACCTGCGGACCCCTCGGTTGGGTTAAAAACTTACGCTTGCCCGGGTAATGGGGGATCTCTGCCCGGGTGGACCTTTAGTTCTCCCCCACTCGTGGGATTTATTATGGATGATTTGAATTTAAACCAAACAAAACGATCGGAAACAATCAAACAAAGGAACAAGGCAAGCAAAACGGACACTGCAACGAAAGGTGCAAGGGAGAAGAGGAACAGTGGAGTCGATGGGTCGTCCACTGAGGGTGAGGTGGCGTCGGGAACGCCCATCTCGATGGGGCTCCCAGAAGTCAGTCTGACTCTGATCTCTGGGAGCCGAAGAGCATCGGATCGGCTGCGTTCCGGATCCGCCGCTTCGTCGGATGGCGCGGAGGCCATGGAGGCTGAACGAAGCGACAGCCGGAAACGCGGACGCTCCAGGGACGAGGAAACGGATACGTCCCAGGAGATGATGCCACCGAAGGTGGCAAGCAGCCGCCGAGGGAGGGCGCGCAAACCGGCCTCGGCCCCGGTCTTAACCCCGTCAGGCTCCGCGTTCTCAAACGCGGAGTCCTACAGAAGTGTACGGGTGGACGGCGAGGCCGTAGCGGAGGAGGAGATCGCGGATCTCCTGCTCAAGGTTCGGGAGCCGGTGGGGGGAAATGCCCCCCAGGCTCCCGTGTCCGTGCAG